CAATGAGAAGTGCGGAACAATTCCACAAATTATAGTCATCGACAGTCAACATCTGATTTGCAAATGCCTTACCGCCAACTGATAGTTCAATATATAGATTAAACATCTCATTAAATGGTTGTCCTTTTTCAGTGTAACTACGGGACAGTCTTTTATTAATATCAATAAATGTATAATTATTGTCATCGAAAAACCATTTGATTTTTGTTTCACTCCATTCAATGGCATAATTATGAAACTCATGTAAATTAGCTTTAGGTTTATAGATTGACTGATCGTGTGATGGCATTACTTTAGATGCATTAATACAAAATTGTACATTGCTTTTGATTGATTTACCTTGATCATAGTTTACAATATTAATTTTGGCTTTCAAATTGCTATCTATTGTTTTATTGATCACTTCTAATAACATATTTATCTCCAGCAACCGTCCCCTGGGAAAGGCTGCCCTAATCTCGTAGCGTCCGTAAGTCAACGGTTGTTTCAATTTGATTTTTGCAGTCCTAATGAACTCATTTTTGTTAAACCTATTATTATAACTGTTGGCTGTGAGGGCCAGTACGCCATCCCTGATCTGAATGCTTTTTGAATCGTTTGAATGACAACTGTGTCGATCCATGTTATCTTAAAAATAAATAGATAACATGTAACAAATATATTAAATATATTATACACTTACATGCAGTACCTTCACATTTAAATTGATGCCATGTATTGTAAGCATACCATGTATTGTCATTCAAAACATTTTCATCAAATTCATCGTTGAATACTAATTTTAAATACCGGTGCGATTTGTTGTCGGAAAACAAATTAGATTTTACTGTCTGACATATATCTGAAATAACACTATTATCGCTAATATGAGAAACAGTATAATTGGTTACATTTATTGTCTCGGTATCAGTCCATTGATAAACTCTTATATAATCAATTATAACTGCCGGACATTTCCATGTTTTATATATTGTATTAATTGTCAAATTGTTTAACTCTAGAGCTCCTAATTGAATACCAATATCCATGTGTTGATCAAACGATACATTATTTAATTTATTTTTGGTTAACTCATTGATTGACATAATGTTTTGTACGACACCATCGATAAGCCATTCGATATGACTGTCAGTCCATTCAATGGCAAACACATGAAACTTGTCTAACCGGCCGCTAATGTTGCCGTAATATGTCTTTTTATTGTAATTGCTTTCATCGAGGATATCATATCTAACTCTATTAAGCGAATAGTAGTAATAGAGAAAACCAATTTGAAAAGCTTCGGCAATTAAATAGATATTTAGTTGTATTTGTTGACCAATTGGCAGTACAGCCCTTATTTCAAACCTCCCGTATTTCCATGAGGGACGCGGATATACTAGAGCACCGGTTAATATGCTATCGATCGGATAGTTATACTCACGACCTATATATTGTTCAGTCATTACCAGACAGTCATTTATTATGCGAATATTGTCACCAGAATAGCAACTATAATAGTTTCCTGAAAAAAATATTTTTTGATTGATTTTAAATTTTATAGTAATTTCTATTATAATATACGGTATATATATATTAATTTTAATATATTAATAATTTTTTTAATCTCAAATTAAAATTATTTTGTTATTTTAGAAATAATGATAAAATATTAAATAATTTTAAATACCATAACATTTTCCATTAGAAATATTCCATTTGTTAATAATAATCCATTTATTTTCATCTAATGTTTGACCATTGAATTCATCACTCCAAACAAGTTTCAATGTTTTACTTTTAATAGTATTATTACATTTAATTAAATTAATAACTATTACTAATATAATTAGTTTTACTAAATTCATTATTATATTTTTGTTGTTATTTTCATTTATTATTCATCTAATCTATTAAATACATAACTAATATATTGTTCCTAATACAGTATATGAATAAATTGTATTAATATTATGACTAATTTAATGTCATTTAAAATAAGAGTTTTTTATGGTTTTATTAAATAATTTAATACTTTGTTTACATATAAGGCATTAGAAAATTTCAAAGTTTTTTATACATCACGTATTATAAATTTTATTACCATGTTCAGTTATTAGATGTTCAGTAACTACTATAATAGTAATAGTTATTTATAGATTTATAAATGTATAGTAAGTTACTATTAATAACTCAAAAATGATAATATCTCTTATGACACAGTAGTAGATCTATACGAATCAATTGTTTACATATAATTTTACGACATATTGGATAACTTGACATATATTTGTCATTATTATTATTATTACTGTTTATATTATCATCTAAGCAATGGTCGACCTATTGATAAATCCTAATCAATAAGAGAAGTAACGAATTGTAATCATCGATAGTCAACATCTGATTTATAAATTACTTTCCGTTTCATTGATTTATATATATAGTTATTAATTATTTATTTATCTAAATTTTCTATAGAAAATAAGACACAAAATATTGAATTAAGATTTACTGTTATTGTAGGCAAAAAAGAAATTAATTTATAAAATAATTCGGAAATTTCTAGAAAGTTTCTAAAAGAAATTTCTATCTATGGGATTCCCATGCTAATTTTGTTTTCTCGATATTTGTTGACTTGCTAAGTAATAATTAAATATGAGTATTAGTATTTTAATTATTAATTAAAGTAAAAAATTTATTTATTTAATTATATTAAACTATTATATATTATATATATATATACTGTATATTAGAATGATGAATAAAATTTTACAAAACTGATTATTATTAAATAATTATAATTATTTTATATATAGATATCCCATTTTGTATAATATATGTATAGTATTGTCTCATTAATATAGTGTTACAATATCTATAGATATGGTGATCCCATAGCATAATAATACAGTTAAATTTCTATAGAAATTTATTCCTGAGAGAGTTTCTAGAAACTTTCTCAGGGAAATTTATTAGAAACTTTCTATTTACTGTACTATCGTATAATATTTTATTTATAAAAAATAATTTAGAATATAATTTTTAACAACGATTTAAAACAATGTTAATTAATAATAAAATTGAATAATATACTGTATATGTTTTTTATATAAATATATGATATATCAATAAACTATACATAAAACAATTTTCTGACGTTAATTACAAAATTTGTACATGAATTTATGTAATAATTTATTTTGTATTTATTTATGTATTTGCTAAAATAGCATTATAAAATTTTTATATAAATAAAACTGATAAAATTTTGATAAAACTAAAATTTCCTGTTTAATATAATATTATATAATATAGTTTAATATAGTTAACTAAATAAAATATCTATAATTTTTCTTCTATACCAAAGTGTTATTTCATTTATCATAGTTATTAATAATTAATAATAACTTAATAACTTATTATGTTGTAATGTAATATTAGAAAATAAAATAATAATTAATATTAACATAATAAAATTGTAGTTAAATTGTTAAGCGATAAATTTTATTAAATATAATATAATATTAATAATTTATATATAATTTACAAATTATTATCATTCGGTATAATTACCAAAAAAATGTTATAATAAATACAAATAATTGTTACGATAAATAATAAGTTATATAAAAAAAATAAAATCTATTAGAATTATTTTTAATTAATAAATAACTTAATAAAAATGATTATTAATTATTAGTTTATATTAAAAAAAATATCAAATTATTTTATACAATAATTATTTGTATTTATTAGTCATTTCAAGATAGGTATTATTGTTAGGCATTGGCCTAACATTGATTACATTATAACATTGATTATCACAGTAATCATAATTATCATAATTATACGTTTCATATTCATTGGTTATATTGTCATCAAATATATTTCCTAATTCTTGATCATTATTACTGATTTTATGACTATTTTGTTGATTCATGTTTTTTGTTAGACATTGATATTTTTGGCATAATTTTACTGTTAATAATATTGACATTAATATTATAACACTAGTGGCCACTGATGTCAAAATTGTAGTCAATGTAGACATTGATGTAGAAGTGGATGTAATTGGTGTTGACATTGATGGTGACGGCGATGACAACACAGTAGTAGGTCTATCGGGTTGTATTGATTTCATAATACCTTTACATATGGGATAACTTGATATCTGTTTGTCTTTAGTATCATTAGTTATAATTATATTGTCGACCCATTCGTATACTTTCACGTAATCAATGAGAAGTGCGGAACAGTTCCATGAATTGTAGTCATCGACAGTTAATAACTGATTTCCAGAAGCCTTTCCGCCCACTGATAGACCAATGTATAGATTATAAGGCATATCAAATGGTTGTCCTTTTTCAGTATAAATTGGTGACAATATTTTATTGATATCAATAGTCGTATGATTAGTGTCATCAAAAAACCATTGAATTTTGGTTTCACTCCATTCAATGGCATACCTGTGAAACTCATGTAAATCAGTGTCGTGATTGTAAACTGACTGATCTGGTAGTGGTTTACTATATTTATCATATTGAGCACAATTTTCAATTGAATGACCTTGACCAAATTTGAAAATTGTAATTTTTGCTGTCGTATAGTTATATTTAGGATTACTCATCATTTTCATATATACCGCTGCCTCCAATAACCGTCCACTGGGAAGGGCTGCCCTAATCTCGAACCGACCGTATTTCAAATCTTTTTTCAATTTGATTCTTGCTGTCCTAATCATCTTATTTTTGTCAAACTTGTTGTCATAACTGTTGGCTGTGAGGGCCAGTACGCCATCCCTTATCTGAATGCTTTGTGTATCGTTTGAATAGCAACTTTGTTGACCTAACGTTATATCATTATTAATATCTAAAATATTAATATTTATTATTATATATAATTTGTTTGATTCAAATCTCTACCTTTACATTTTTGTTGACTTGTTTGCCAATAACTAAAGGCCGACCATATATTACTCTTCAATATATTGCCATCAAATTCATCGGCAAATACTAATTTCAAATAACTACGAAACTGTTGGACTTTTTCATTGGTTAACATATTAGACATTACATGTCGACAAACATCGGTTGAAACATCATTTGTTATGACAGCCGGCGCCGTATTATTAGGTCTTGTGTTCACATTGTTATCGACCCATTGATAGACCCGTACGTAATCAACAATAAGTGCCGAACAGTTCCACTGTCTATATATATCGTCACTAAAATTACCAGATTTTTGATTGACTTGAATATAAAAAAGCAAATGAAGTGGTCTACCAAACGATTCATCAGTTTTGTTATTGTTATCATTAAAAGATTTGTTTATAGAGATGGTATGTCTCGGTATACCATCGATGAGCCATTTGAACTCATGTGGTGTCCAATCCAGAGCATAGGTGTGAAAGTCATGTATGTTTGACGAGACATTTGTATGAAATATTTGATTTAACTCAGGTATTCCGTACCAAACACTAAACTCAATTTGTTGGCCAATTTGTTCATAATCGACAATATTTACCGACGGTAGTAACCAACTAGGCATCAAAAGCATACTAACTGTTATGGCTGGCCCGGTAGGCATTGCCGCACTTAACTCAAAGCGGCCATATGACCAACTTTTATATGAACTGATTTGTGCGGTCGTATAATTTCTTTTCAACCGATAATCGTAATCATTGGCCACATATTTTGCAAACAATGTAAGAAATCCATCCATTAAATAGATATTATTGCTTACTTTACAACTGATTTCTTTTTTTAAAAAAATTATTAAATTTTATTTTAAATTTGTTTATTTTTGCTCAAATATTGATTGTAACTTTTAAATAATAATAATAATTGTTATTATAATTACCATCACATTTATCATCAAACGGATCCCAATTACTATTGATATCCCATTTTTTTGTATCAATTTTGTTGCCATTAAACTCATCATTCCATACAAGTTCTAGACGTTTATCGCCACAAACTATATCTAACAATATAATCAACAAATTTAATTGTGATATAAAATAATATGTATAATACATAATAACTAAATTAATGTATCACATTATATGCAGTAACAACTATTATTTTATTTAGAAATTTATTTAAATAAATTTGTTTATTTGTTTTTTTATTAATTAAGCACTGAAAGTATTATAACTTATATTATATAAATAAATTTATATCCTGTTGAGTCTAATTGTTTTAAAAATTGCTTATATTTATGGTTTTATTAGTACAGTATATACAGTAATATACAATATAATTATTATAATATATTAATTTTTTATATCACAACCGCTTTCCGTTACTCTCCCTTTTTATTTATTATAATATATCTATTTAAGTAAATTTATTAAATACTATTTATGGAGTTATATAACATTTATATAATTTAGAAAAATTAATTAATTAATAAAGAAAGATAAATTTATATATAATAGTTAAGACATATTTTGTTAACTAACTCAACAATATTTATTTAATGTTTTATCTTTTTAATAATTGTAATAAAATTTATTATTAAAGATTAATTATTTCATACAAATCTTAATATCTTTGAAAAGATCTTAAAGATTTTAAATTTAAATTTTTGTATTTAACTGTTTATTTATTTTATCAATTATTTTTCAAAACTTATTTTAAATTTTAATTATTTTAGCAAAATATTTACAAAATAAATATTTTATTTTCTATCTAATTATTAGTTACAACATATTATATGAATAATAAATAATCTTATATAATGAATAACAAACTAATTTTTGTTTATAAATTCAAATATAATAGTTATGCCAAATACCATCACACGTATCATTGAATAAGTTAACAAAATTATGTGATAATATATTTGGATGTAATTCCCGTATTTTCGGTAATATTGTAGGATTTTTTGGGTCAATTAATTTCGGCCAATCATCGCTTGGTTTACTAAAAATATAAATAATTTTTAAAAATATGACAACAATTTTAAAATAAATATACTAATTACCCGTATTTAGCAAAATTAGTCCACAATTTCATAACTTGCAAACTAAACTGTCTGTCTTTATCTGTATCACTATGTTTTGGATCAATAAGTGGTAAACCAAATACAAAATCAATGTCAGAATAATGTGTGACTCCATAAACTGTTTCATCGAGGTATGCCCTGCGCTGGTATGTAAGCTCATAAAAGTAGACCCTATTACTCTTAATTGTTGAGCTCCGGGCATATTGTTTAGCAAACAGATATGTCGGACATTTCATAATGATATCACCGAACAGATCGTATTCACGCCATTTCAGTGCCTCCGGACTGTTAGTGTCGACACCTTTCAGATACTGTTCACTAACGACCGTCTCATTCATGTCCTGATAGACAGCATTCATAAACTGTACGAAAGCAATGAAATCACTTTTTGTTATGTTTGGCTTTAGTAGTACTTGCATTAGGGCTGAGCCCTCATTTTTGTTGACACCCGACAATATATCTAAATCTTTAATTAAAAATTAGTTGAATTTTTATTACTAAATGTTATAAAATATTATAAAACATAAAAAAGTTTATAATAAATAAAATTAAGAAACATGCCCTTATTAAACAAATGTCGCTCAAAAGCTACCTGTGCTGAGACTGGCAACAGATCCGTATCTAACAGCGGATATATCTGTATAGTTGTATCGGTAGCGTTGATAATTTTATCGGCGCCGACCCCTCGCAGACACTGTAGCCATACTTCGACTTTGCTATCGTTGCAGCCGATACTTGTGGCTAATTGTTTGGCCACCGATAACGCCTGTGCCTTACTATATGGTGCTCTCAATTTGTTCCACATATGACCGCCACTTTGCATAATAACCCGTTTGAATAGGCCTTTAGACAGCGGTGACAGTATGTGTACCGATGCCGACCAACTACCGGCTGATTCACCGAAAATTGTGATTTGATTCCTATCGCCACCGAAACTGTGTATATTATCTCTAACCTACCAGTGTTTTTTGTATATAAGTAAACTATCAATTACTTGCAATTATAGTTAATTTAAGAAACAATTTTTGACAATTTATTAATTAAATATATATATATATAAATTATATACCCATTCCAATGCCAGTATCTGGTCATAGAAACCAACATTCCCAGGAGCGCTGTCCTCGCCAGTGTATAGATAGCCAAACGGTCCTAATCTGTAGTTTACTGACACTACAACTATATCGTGAGCCGCTAATGCACTGGCATTGTATTGGGATTGAAATATACTGCCAATGGTCAGACCGCCGCCGTATATCCAAAACATAACTGGCCGTAAACTACGATCCTGTTTGCGATCAAACATTACGTTTTTTCTTCTGGTATGCGGTGTCCATACATTTAGCACCAAACAGTCTTCACTAGTGGTAATGTTTCCCATTTTAACAAACTCAAGTGATTTGACAAACTTTTGCATACATGAGTTGCCCGGTTTGGTGCCATCGATAATGCCCTAAAAAAACAAAAGTTTTATACAACTAGTAATTGAATTAATTTTTATCATAAAATATCTATTATAACAATATTTGTACAATTACTTTAATAGGTTGTTTTAGGGACACAGGTCGGGCAAATCGTAGAGCGCCCACTGGAGGCTCGGCATACGGTATGTTTAGGAACTGGTGGACTGTCTTGTCGAGCACACGAACTGACTGTCCCTCAACCACACCTGAACTAGTTGTGACCGTATAAACAGTTTTATTATTATTATTATTGTTGTTGTGATGCTGAGGATGATTATGATGTGTATCAATATTAATAGATTTTATAGTTCTCTCTTCAATGTCATTATCATTATTACAATTATTATTAACAAAAATTTCACCAGTTATATATAATGATAAAAGTGCTAATTTTAATATCATTTTATTAATATTATTAGTATTAGTTTGCAACTTAATTAATTAAATATTAATGAAATTAATAAATAACTAAATAATATTTATTGCAAATAAACTTTTTTAAAAATACTATTATAAATCATTAAACTTTTTATAAAGTAATAATTATACAATTTGCGTGACTAATATACTTATATCTACTACTAGTAAAAGTGATTAACCGACAAATTGTCAAATACATCGACTTTTTAAAAATTATTATATAGTAGACTAGTTGCTAATGTCAAAGGTGAGACTCGTGTTAGCAATTTTTATTAAAAATTTAGATAAAATTAATTATTATTTATTAATAAAATATTTAATTTTTTTTTAATATTATACAAAAATAACCTATTACGTAAGTGAACTATTGTTTAGACGTCAAACAAAACTAAAATAAAAATATATTCATGCTTGATCATATATTAGAAAAAATCTTACAATATATTTACCTTTTATATAAAAATATATACAATATATACTGTATATATATATACAGTATAGCTTTGTATACTATATTATTATTATTATTATTATTATTATTTAGTATAATTACAAACAGAGGTTCAAGGGTGTTCATTATAAATAGCTGGTAAAAGCCGGTATAAATCTAAATAAAATATCAATAGATATAATCCATAGTAAACTGGAATTTTTTATATAATAACAATACTAATATCATAATCTATATCTTATATTATACCTACAATAATATATAACAAACTCAATGTACAAATATTACCTAGATTGAAAGTAAATATTGTAAGTGATAAATTTAATTAGAAATAAATAAATATTGTAAATATAGTTTTTAGATTAATTCAATTAAGATATCTAATATAAATTTATATATGTACTTAATATACAGCATATCGTATATTAATATATAAAATATATATCAATAACTAATAGTCCAGATCATTGTTTTGATTAGAATTATTAAATAAATCTAAAGTCTATAAATTATATATGATGTAAAAACTTCCTTGATCATATCTATTTTTTTTAAATCAAATACAAAAAAATAATATAAGATTTTTAAAAAAAATGATATTAATTTTATAGCACACAAACTAAAGCGGAACTTAATTAAAATCAGTGACAACAGTGAAAATTAAAATATAACAATAAAATAGACAAAAATTTCCAATTAAACTATTTATTAAATAGTTAATATATAATAATTTTTAATATATTCATAAATATATATATAGTAAATAATGTATTATTACAATATATTCTATAAAATGACCATGAAAACATATATATTGATGTATTGACATGACTGGGTTTTACTAGTTTTTAGCGGTAGACACATAGGAACACATATACATAGACATAGTTATACATATAGATATAGATATAGATATAAATCATTGTAATAATCTTTAAAGTACATACAATGCTATAAATACCATTATTGAAGGACATACCTAATATGTGTTACTAGACTTGTTGGGTGTGTGTTTAGAGCACACAATTTTTTGCTACAATGAATGAGACTTAATATGATTAACAAGTGATAAACAATTTCATAATTAATAAAAATAATTTTGTATAAAAATCATGTAATTATAAATATAATTTTTAATATTATATAATATTTTCAATTTACTAATAATATTTAAAAAATTGCAAAAATTAACAATAACTGTTTTATAAACTTTTTTATATCTATGATATTTATAATATTTACAAACAATATTCATAAAAAAAAGTTTATAAAATTATATTTCTAACAATTTAACAATAATTGTTTAATTTAATTATTGATTCCTGAATATACAATTAAATATAATTTATGACAATACTGTCATACTTTTATGAATCATATAATTGTTATATGATTTTAATTAAATATTGGCAAATAACATTGAAAATAATGTAAAAGTAGATAATCAAAATTATTTATACAATATTATCACTAAATGGCTTAATCGAAAAATGTACTATTAATATATAAAAAACTATTTTACTATTTTATATTAAAAAATTGAATTAAATATTATTATTGAAAATTATTAATAATATGAGTATTTTTAAGTACTTTAATAAAATAAAATAATAAATTTATTTAAATCAAAAACATGTTTACTATTATTACAGAATGTTAAAATCAAATGTTTTTTATCTATTCATATTGTTTGCTATTTTTGCCATATTATTGAAATATTATTTAAATTTATCATTAACCTCCAGTGAAAATATTGATAATAATAATAATGATTTTGATAACGATGTAATTGTACAAACTAGCACCGGTACGTTTAGAGGACAGACCCTCAATGAACTGCATAAGCGAGTCGACCAATTTTTGGCGATACCTTACGCGGAACCACCTATTGGTAGCCTTAGGTTTGCTAAGCCGGTGCCAATCAGATCAACAAACAATGTATTTAATATACTGAATATATCTTACATTTGTTGCAAAATTTAATTATAATTACTGTATGTTAAGGATGTTATTATAGATGCAACAAAAGTCGGCAAATCTTGTATACAAAATACGGTACAAAATATCGGCGAATTGCTCGATGGGGTCACGGGTCAGGTAGATGAAAGTGAGGACTGTCTAGTGTTGAACATATGGACCGCAAATCGGATCAATTATCAGAGTAATGGTCATTTACAAGCGGTTATGTTTTGGATACACGGCGGTGCATTGAGTTTGGGCTCCATATTTGACCATCTATACAACGGTAGTCTACTGGCCACACACGATGTTTTGGTAGTGTCTACCAACTATAGACTGGGACAGTTTGGTTTTCTATATGGTGGCACTGAGTCTGCACCGGGAAATGTAGGATTTTATGATCAGTTATTGGCATTAAAATGGGTATAACATTTACAAATTATATACTAATTAAGTAATTAAATTGTAAAAAAATTAATTAATGATAAATCTATATACTTTAAATAGGTTCACGAAAACATACATTTATTTGGCGGAGATAGGGATCAAATTACTATATTTGGTGAATCGGCCGGCAGTTGGTCGGTATCGGCACACATACTGTCGCCGCTATCTAAAGGCCTATTCAAACGGGCTATATTAGGCAGTGGTGCACTAGTCTTCAATAAGGACCGTCCGATACTTGACGCCAGTAATGGCATAGAAAAGTCCAGACAAACGGCAAATAAATTGAATTGTAGTGAAAAATATGGCGACAATTGGCTCGACTGTCTCCGGGATGTCGACGCCAAGCAACTGATTGAAACTGACGAAAACGGTGGCTCACTGTACATAACTTACCCGGTGTTTGGCACTGAATTTTTACCTAATCTACCGAAACAGGTCATCGACAACAAGCTGTTTGACATTAATGTCGATGTAATGTCTGGTGTTACCAGAGAGGAAGGGGTGATAATGGCTGTGATGCAGTATCACGAAATTATGGACGACCTGTTTGATCTGCAAAAGTTTCGCACAGTTGTTGATAAAGTTAATCAGGTTTTGCATAACATAGACACCAAAAAGGTGTCCGATTTATATACCAAAACCGTTGACCGTAAAAATGCCAGTCAATTGCGTCGGGCGTTTGGCGAGTTTTATGGCGATATTTTTCTGAAGTGTCCCACATATGAGTTGGCCCGTAAAATAGCGGAAACCGGTGGCCAGAGTGCAGTTTACTTTTATCAGCTTAACTATCAGAGCAAACTATTGGCACCGTTTGGGTGCGACGACAGTACCATTTGTCATGGCTCAGACCTGGACTACATATTTGGTACACCGCTTAGGGATCAAAATGCTTATACGGAAACTGACTATGATTTTAGTATGGATATCATGAAAATGTGGACTAATTTTGCTAAATATGGGTATAAATTTAGATTATTTGTTTGTTAAAATTGTATTTGTTTTGTTAATTTTTGTTATAAATATTATTTATTTATTTTTTAGTAATCCTCGCAGTTATTGGCCCAAAGTATTGGACAGTAAAACATCGGATAGTAAAACATTTAAAGTAAAATTATTGCATCCAAACAATATGAACCAGATTTTAGAGGATCCCTATAAAAGCACATGTGATATGATTTGGAAAAATTATTATTTTTAATTTTATACATAAATAAAAAAATAATAAAAATTTAAAAATTTAAAAAATTCAATATTAATGTATTTTATTTTTTATATAAACTTGTATTTTTTAATTAATTAAAGTAAAAATGTTTTATTATTTTATTCATTAGTCAAACATTGAGTATATATTAGATAAATTATTATTAAAATTATAAAATATTATTATTTGTATATACTTTATTCTTATACAATATTTGCTATTTATAATTAACAACAATATAAATAACTAAATTTAAAATTATTTTATTTATAATAATTTTTTGTAAATCATTTTTATATATTAGTATATGTTTAATTAAGATAAGTTAATTATAACAGTGTAGACATTGCTTAAATTATTTTCTATAATAGTTTTTATAGTATATTAATTTTTATTAAAAAATACCAATAATTTATGACCTTGATAAATCTTATGCATATTACTGATGTCTATAAATAAAGTCAATGAATTATAAAAGTTTTTATACAGTAAACATCGAAAAAACAATACTTTATTATTTATTTTATAACAAATAGTCATAAAATTTTTACGATTATTTACATTTTAAACTAATTTCTAAATAAATATTAAAATAATGCAATGTTGATAATTTATGCAAAAATATAAATAAATATGTTAGATTATTATAATAAATTACAATTAGCATAATAAAGTAACACTATTTTTATGACAACAAAAATACAATATAAATTTTAGTGAGTAGTATTAAAAAACTAACTAAATATTTTTATATAAATAAAAGTTAGATATTTAAAAAAAGTGTTATTTAAAAACATTATCATTATAATTGAATTAAAAATTATTGGTAATGTTTAGTGAAAATTTATTATCATTTATCTTAATAAATGAATTTAGATGGACAGTTTGTTTTATAATAATTGCTTATGTAGTTTATAAAATAACTAAACTTTATGTGCGAGTAATAAATCTACCACCCGGACCATTGCCTATACCTATATTAGGCAGTATTTTATGTATATAAATATTATTAAAGATATTTATAAAAAAATAATGTTATGTTGAATATAAATTATACAATTAAAATAATTATTATGTTTATATATAGCATTAAGAGGTATTAAACATCACTGGATCTATGAGTTCAAAAATTATAATAAAAAATATGGAAATATATTTACATTTTGGGGGGGAAATATACCAATGGTTGTAATCACTGACCCCATGTTGGCCCGAGTCTTGTTTCGTAAAAATGAAATATCTGGTCGGCCCTCAAATTTTATGAGTAAGCATTAAAGATATACTAAAAAATTATTGTAATAAAAATTATTAAAATAAAAAAACAATTAATTTGCTATTATAGCTGATATGATAAATAAAAACGGTCGCACCGATATTGTTGGTACCGATTATGGCCACACCTGGGAAACAATGAGACGGGTAACACACGCGGCTATAATGTTAGTTTATTTTTTGAATTTAATTGACACTAATCTAGAAAAATACTTAGATATATATATATATATATAATTTTTTGTTATACATAATTAGCAAATACAGTAAAACTGATCAACTAATGTATTTGTGTAGCGATTGTGTGGATAAAACAGTTAAATTAATTATTGAAAACGAGGGCTTAGATAAACCGTTTGATCCGTCAGATTATATCTTTCAATTGTTTATTAACATATTGGCTACCAGTGCTTTTGGCAATAGGTAAAGTATTACATAAACAACAAATATTAAATATTAATTTTTTAAATATACTGTAAAATATATTGTTTTTAATATTTCTATAATCAGTTATTTAATGGATGAAAAAGAGTATAAAAACTACAAATATTGTATTAAAGATTTCAGACGTGAAAACAATCTTATGATTGTATTAATACAAATCATACCATCGTTTCGTTATTTATTCAAAACTTCTGAAAACAAACAAATAGCAAATTTTGAACAATTTATTGATAATTTGAGACAAAAATTAATTAGTCATTACAGGGATTATAATGATAGTATTAGTTGTCGAAATTTTTGCGATTTACTTATTGCTGAAAAAGTGAAAACAATCCGTGACTATAAAGAGTCGGCACAATATTTGACTGATAATAACCTATCGATGGTTTTATTTGATATATTATTTGCCGGCACCGACTCATCACAGCTAACCTTTCAGTGGATGCTATTATTTTTGGTATATTATCCACATATTGATCAAAAGTTGCGCCAAGAAATTGAAACAGTAATCGGAGACAGATTGGCCACACATGAAGATAGACATCATTGTCATTATGCGATGGCTTTCATATCCGAGTCGCTGAGATTGAGAAATGTGGCCCCAATAGGACTTCCGCATAAAACACTTGAGCGCACAACAGTTGGTAAATATACTGTTCCTAAAGATACAGTTATTGCTTATCTTCAGGGAATAGTTATGATGGATGACAAGTACTGGTCAAATGCTGATAAGTTTAAACCCGAGCGCTTCCTTATTGATGGCAAGTTTAACAATACCCGTCCCATTGGTTACGTACCGTTCGGTGTGGGACGTCGTGTATGTTTGGGTGAGAAGTTGGTCATCGCTGACCTGTTTTTTGTTTTGATACGATTTCTTCAGATGACCAGTGATTATGATATAGTTTTGGACAGTAATGCGGGCATTGATCCAAATCCTAATATTGTTGATACAATAGAACCTAATAATTACAAAATATTGCTTAAACTCAAAATATAATACATTTATTTATATTTTATTTTTAATTAATATACTGTATATATAAATTAATAAGTAATAATTAAGACTAAAATAATAAAATAATTTTTAATAAGAAATATGTTTCTTAATTTCACATTTAGTTTTAATTTTAAACAATATTTGCAATTTATATTTATAAGGTAATCTAATAATGTTAAAATTGTATTTATAATTAAAATTTATTGTTAATTATGTTTTATTATTGTTTACATACAAAACAAATGTAATTTTAAATACAAAATTAATAATTGACCTTGATATACAGTAGGTTAATTATGATCAATTAATTAATTTTTTATATACTATATGTTTATACAACTTAAACTTAAAGTACTATAATTTTATACAATAATGAAATACTTTAATAAAATGTATGATTTTATAAACAAAAATTAATTTTATATTTAGAAATTAATATAGACCAGTTGAGAATGCTAGAAAGCATTGACAGATAAAGTTATTCCATAATAAGCCCGACTACTTTTTTTTGTAACTTAAATTGTGCCCAGATGCTTTAAGTATAATAACATATACAGTAGTTACAATAAATAATGTATTGCAAGTATTATTAAAAATAAAAAGTTTATAAAAATATATTTAAAAATCAGTATTAATATAATTATTAAAATTACTAAAAAAATTATATATTTTATTAAATATTTAATTAATGAAAAAACATGTTTAGCTATATTTAAGTAACGGCGAGTATTTTCAATTTCATCCTTTTTTCTGTATCTGTGTTCTATAGATTTTTTCAATACTTAATTACTAAATCAAAAACTTTAAAAAATATAATTTTGTAACGTTTATTGTTTGTTGGGTTGGTTGGTAGGGTAGGTTAGTAAAATACACAAATATAGGTAAATAACTTATTTTATTTATTATGTAATATTAAGATTATACAGTAGGGTTTTAAAGCTAAAAGTAGACTAAAAAATTGTGTGAATGTATTTTATAAGTGTGGGGTTTTTACAGTTATCCAATAGGTTGATGGATGGGGAGGGGCATAAAGTATGTTACAATTCTCCCCAGGTACAGATACATGTTTGTTCCTAAACATTTGAACATTATTTATTGTATATAGGGTATTATTATATATGTGATTGTGTGTATGTGATATATATACGTGTTTATAATATTATTATTATTTTTTATTATTTGTATTATTAATTTGTTTTTATTATTATTATTATTTTTAATTAATTTTTTTTGTTATACAATACACGTGGGTTAAGGGCTAAATCTCTCGTTTCCTAATTCTCGTTTTCTAATTATCGGATCCTATTATAGATAATGGCATTTTTGGTCATTATTTTATTGTTATATTTTAACAAAATATAGTAACAAATGATTACAAAAATAACTTACCAATTAAAAATTGTAATCTCATTTTTTGTTATTTAATGGCAATATTTTTGTTTTCTATGAATATATGATCTATAAATACTATATTAAATTCATTCAAATCAATTTTTTATAATAAATATTTTATTATTATTGTTATTATTATTCTAGGATTTTGAATTTTTATTTCTCTAACAACTTTGTTATAATTATTTTTTTATAACCTACTTTTTAAATAATTTTATAAAAAATACTTTTTTGGTATTTGCTAAATGAGACTTTAATATTATTGTCTTTAATTTCTCTAAATATTTTTATAAAATCACAGCTACTTTTAGTTTTATAATAATTTACTATTATATCTATTTTATAATATCATGGATTAACTTTACAGACTAGTCATCTAAGATAATAAAGTTCAGTATAAATAAATAAACTCAATTTTTATCATTTAATTATTAAATGACTCCGTATTACAAAACAAACTCATTTAATCAAATAATCTTATAATTATCTCTATCCTAAAATTAATCGTTTTAAAATAATTTTTTTATTTGTCCGCCATTTTGATTATGACTAAAAAACAAAAAATATTATTCTTCATTTTAATGGGTAGGTGTCATATATTTATTTGAAGCTATCCTAATGACATTTAGCCAAAAATTTTATATTATAATACAAAATAATTGTTTTTTTTAATTAGTAAATTATTATTAAATTTAATTATGTTTACTTTCATTAATTTCATATTGTTAATTTCATCTGGAATGGAACCAATAATTAAATGGTTACAAGATGATAGATTAATGAAAAATATTGTCCAAAACGTGGTAATAAATGTATTAACGATAATAAATTTTTAATTTATACAGGAAAAAAAATATCATCGAGGAAGTAGACTAGATGGCTTGTAGATTATAGGATTAATTCAATTAACATTTAATACAAAAAGAATTTAGAATTGAAATATGTCCTAATAACAAACGAAACAAAGTAAATTTGTATCAACTAATATTAAAACATGTTTTACCATGAACAACTATTATTACTGATTTATGTGGTGGATTTACTAGAAAACATGGGCTCAACACTCAAACAATAGGTAAATATCTCTAAGCTAGGTTACCGGTGCCCATATAGTATTGAAATAGTAATCTCAATGTATTGTTGACAAAAAACGATAGATGAAATTATAAAATACTTATTATTTAGTATAAAATTAATTTTTATTTTTAACAGAATCTCAATGGAGAGCTTTGAAGCGAAAGGTTGGAAGCATTCCTAAAAAATAATTAGCTAATCATTTATGTGAATATTTATGGAGACGGGAAATACAATTATCAGATTAAGACTTATTTTTTAATTTTATTAAAGTTTGTTGTAAAATTTACAATTTTTATATTGACGTAACAAATGAATTATTAGATCATAATATTGTAAAATTAAATAAATTATTATTATTTAAATTTATAAAATTAAATAAATTATTATTATTTAAATTTATAAAATTAAATAAATTATTGTTATTTAAATTTATAAAATTAATTCGAAATCTTGAACTCTATAGCTGTCAACTGTTGATGAGTTTAACAAATTATTATAATTACAAAAAACGTATTTATTCTTATATATCTATTTAATTTTAGCGCTTTAATAATTATAGTACATAAAGTATGTTTTACATAAAATTTTAATGATGAAATCATGTCCATTTTAATCAATTTATATAAATCAAAAGTAAAAATTTGAAATTTAAGTTAAAATTTATTAATATTTATGAAAAATGCCATTTTTAATGAACTATTTTTATACATATAAAACCAGACGTTTTATAACAGTTTTATTATTATTTATCTTTTGGTTAAACCATATGTCAAAAACAACTCTTATATATACATTCCAGTAAAACAAACTTTTTAAAGTTTTTTTTGAAAAACATTAATAACTTATTTTTAATTAATATCAAATACTATATAACTATTTACTTGATTTTAAAGTTATTAATTTTTAAAAAATATACTAAAAAATTACTTATAATGTCTATTTCAAGTTTACTGTCATTCAATTTATTTAGTGATTTTAAGTCAGTAATTAGTGTTATATTAATTGCTTTTATAGTTTATAAAATAACTAAATTTTATGTTCAATCCTCAATTTTACCACCTGGACCATTACCAATACCATTAATTGGCAATCTATTATGTATAATATATTTTTAATTAATCATTTTTAAAAATCAATTAATTACGTTTTAATTAATTTTTAATTATTTTTTGCACTATATATATACTGTAAATATAATATTTTTAAATTTTCTTTTTACATTAATAACTTAATTACTTATACTATTGAATATATTGTATTGTAATTATTTAATTGAAAAGCATTGAGAGGTACCAAAAATCATTGGACCGATGAATTGAAAACATATAGTAAAAAATATGGAAATATATTTACATTTTGGATGGGAAATTTGCCCATGGTATTAATCACTGACCCGTATCTGGCCAGAAATGTTTACCGTAAAAATGATTTAGCCGGACGTAGTAGTATTTATTTGTGTAAGTTTTTATTTTAGACACATTATAAAAACACATATATTTATAAATAATTTTGTTAGTTAATTAAATCTAATTAAATAATGTGATGCTAATGTTTTATACAATTTAAATTTTAGTTGATATAATAAAGGATAATGGAGGTTGTATAGATATTATTGGCGCCGATTATGGCCATACCTGGGAAGCCCTGAGACGGGTGTCACACGCGGCTGTTATGTTTGTTTATTAATTTTATAAATAAATGATTTTTACAATTTATTTATATATTATTATATTGAAATATATTTTTTAATAATATTTTTAGCAAATACGCTAAAACTGATAAACTAATGTATTTGTGTAACGATTGTGTGGATAAAACAGTTAAATTAATTATAGAAAAGGAGGGCTTAAATAAACCGTTTGATCCGTCAGATTATATCTTTCAATTGTTTATTAACATATTGGCTACCAGTGCTTTTGGTAATTGGTAAAGTGTTATTATTTTTTTATAAAGTAATTTTAATGCCAACTACCTACTAACTAAATAATATATATATATATTTGTCATTTATTTGAAATTAGTTATTCAATGAACGATAAAGACACTGAAAATTTTAAATATTGTATTAAAGGTTTTCGTCGCGAAAACAATGTTATGTATGTTTTGATGCAATTCATACCAGCCATCCGTTTCCTAAACAAAAGCTTTGCTGACAAACAAAACCAAACTTTTAAGCAATTTATAGATAATATGAAACAAAAATTTATGAATCATTACAATGAGTACGACCCGAGTGTTTGTCGCGATTTTTGCGATTCATTAATCGCCGCCAAAGAGGAAGCAATTCGGGAGTCGAAAGAGTCGGCGCCCTATTTGGCCGATAAAAGCCTAGTTATGGCTATTTTTGACTTATTCTTTGCCGGCACCGACACATCACAGTTGACTTTCCTATGGATGCTATTGTTTATGTCATACTATCCACAAACACAGAAACAATTACGACAAGAAATTGATACACAAATTGGCGACCGTTTGCCCACACATGAGGACAGACAACAGTGTCATTATGTTATGGCATTTATAACAGAAACGTTGAGATTCAGGAATGTTGCGCCAATAGGTGTTCCCCATCGAGCAGTTGTGCGTACAAAAGTTGGCGACTATACACTACAGAAAGATACAACAGTAGTCTTATTGCAATCTGTAATTATGACAGACGACAACTACTGGCCAAATGCTAATAAGTTTACACCCGAGCGCTTCCTATCCAATGGAAAGTATATCAATTCCCGTTCAAAAGCTTTCATACCTTTTGGTGTGGGACGTCGTGTATGTTTAGGCGAAAAGTTGGCCATCGCTGACCTGTTTCTTGTTTTGATACGATTTCTTCAGACGACCAATGATTATGATATAGTATTGGAAAGTCATAAGGGTTTAGATCCTAATGTTAATATTGCCGATTCATTAGAGCCCAACAAATATGAAATATCATTGAAAAGAAGGCTATAATGGATTAAATTTTATTAAACCTTTATTTAAATACATTATAATAGTAAATGTATATTAAATTAGTTTTAATGATTTTTTTTAATTCCTAAAAGTTTAAATATTTTTATTCTACAATATTTTAACAAAATTATTATATTTATGGATTGAACAATTACAGTTTAATTATTTTTATTATACTAATTAATCAGCCAATTCAATTGAAACAAATAATTATAAATTAGCTTTTAATTAAGCAAAAATACTAAATTTTGTTTATTTAGTACAATATTTAGGCTTTATTTTTATATTTTTATTAGTTATAACATATTATAATATATTTAATCATTTATTTTTTTAAATTATAAATATTTTTAATCATTTTAACTTTATTTATAACATTTGGTTTTTATAGTATTTATAGTTTCAATAATAAACATATTAGAAGAGTATTATCATTGTTTAACCTCAAAAACTTATTCACACGTGGATTTAATTTGTAAAAATAATTTTTATGTTCAAAAATATTTATATTATAAAAATGTCAAGTACTGTAGTATTTTATCAATAACTTTTAAAAATATAATATAATGTGCTAACGAGTACTGAACAAGTTTAGTATATTTATCTATATTTTTAATACTACTGTATAATAATTATTATTAATTCTCATTTAAACAATTGTTCAAATATTTATCAATTTAACCATACATTCAATAATAATAATAAGTATATATTAATTATAAAAATTAAAAACACTTAAAATTAACTTTAAAAAATATTGTACTAAAAAAGTTAAACTTGATTTGCACTAAATATATTTTTATCAAACTATAATAATTAGTTAGAGTTTAATGAGACAATTGATGATAAACTCAAATAAAAATTACAAACAGTTATATTAAATCAGAAAACTAAATGTAAAGTACATTAACTGTCAAAAACTGATAATGCAATTATCAATAATAGAAATTGTTTCGGTTGTGATTTTTTGCGTAATTATTAGCAAAATATCGGCCGACTGTGGCTACGAGTCATGCCGTAAGACATACGCTACGGATAAGCTGAACATCCATATCATAGCCCACAGTCACGATGACGTCGGTTGGGTTAAGACAGTCGACAACTATTATGCCGACGAAGTTCAACATATAATCACAAATGTGGTCAACTCGTTAGCCAAAAACCCTGACCGACGATTCACACAAGTGGAGACCTATTACTTCAACCGGTGGTGGTCCGAACAAACAGAACAGACACGCAATTTGGTCCATCAGTTGGTCAGTTCGGGTCAGTTGGCGTTTGCAAATGGCGGCTATACGGTCAACGACGAGGGCGCTGCTCATTACAATGAGATTATCGATCAGATGACGTACGGACTAAAAATTCTGGATCACCTGTTTGGCCGATGCGGTCGACCACTGATTTCGTGGCAAATTGATCCGTTCGGTGCCTCCAAAGAGATGGCCTCACTGTACGCTCAAATGGGTTTCGATGGACATGTGTTTAATAGAGGTGTCCAACCAAAAGGCGAGTTCATATGGGAAAGTAGTCCCGATTTGGGCCAAAAATCCAATATCTTTACGACTATACTTCATGATCACTATAACGCTCCCGAAGGGTTTGACTTTGAAAACGGTATTTAATAATTAAAATTTCGTAAATAAAGAAATGGTTTTTAATTAAAAAAAATTCTAAATCATAGGTAACGACATAACAACAGACAATAAGAAACAAAAAGCCGATTCTTTGGTCTCTTTGGCCAATCAGTGGAATCGCGACTTCGGTAACAGTGGACACGTGTTGATGCCATTTGGCGATGACTTTCGCTTTCAAAATGCTGACCATTATTTCTCCAATTTGGACAAACTTATTGACGCCATTCACGAGTTTCACGGCAAAGATATTCATATATTTTACTCGACACCGATGTGCTATTTGCTGGCAGTTAACCAACTAAATCGGATATATGAGACGCGCCAACGCGATTACTTTCCTTTTTGGACCGGTTTCTTTACCAGTAGGCCGTCACTGAAACGCCAGGAGCGCTGGACAAACAGTTTGCTGCAAATAGGAAAACAATTGGATGCCGTGACTCGTCTTCCGGGAGTCGATCCGTTTGTCAATGAAGGTCGTAATGAGATTGCTGTGATGACACATCACGATGCCATCACTGGCACATCGCCTCAGTGGACAGTCAATGATTACGATCAACGATTATTCAGCGCTACTGATGCCATCCGAGAAGTAGTCGATAGGACGTATGAAAAATTATTACCATTGAATAGACAGTCATCTGAGATAACAGTTCCCAAACAAATTATATGCGATAGACTTAACATAAGTCAATGTTTAGTATCCGAGACCTCAGATCAGTTGACATTACTGATCTATAATCCTATGGGACGGCCAGTTAGTCAATGGTTTCGTATACCAGTTATATCAAACACATCTGTTTATGAAATGTATGACAGCACCGGCAGCAAAGTCGATGACATACATATAGTTCCCGTATCGCAAAAAGTACTAAAAATACCAGAAAGGACTACAACTGCTAAATATGAGATAGTTTTTCGCGCAAATATAACGGCTTTAGGTTTTGTCACATATTTTGTCAAAAAATCAGGTATTGTTTAATAAACAGTATAAAAAATATTTAGTAATTTACAGTACTGTATATTATTTTTTTAAAATCTTTTTTTATTTATTATCAGAAAAATTAATAGAAAATTTAAGTAAAGTATCTGAAAATTTGCCAAAAATTACTGACAAAATTCAAATGAAAGGAAAAGGATTTACCCTTTTATTGGACTCTAAGATCGGAAACATTGAATCAATTAAATTACAAAATACTGACAAAGACTATCCGTTGCGACAGTCGTTTAAGTTTTATAAATCAAATTCAGACAACTATTATGTGTTTTGTTCGGAAGGATCGGTTAATGACATCCCGAGAGATGAGGTTAGATTAGAATCGGTATACAAAAGTGGATCAATTCATGAGGTGACACAAGTGTGGAACAGTTGGATAACGCAAACAATACGAGTCTATGAGGACCGGGAATACGCAGAACTTGAATGGATAGTCGGATCGATACCTATTGATGACAATATTGGCAAAGAAGTGATCACCAGATTTGAGACAAATTTTAAAACTAAAAATGAGTTCTTCACAGATGCTAATGGCAGACAAAATGTAAGTAATTTTTATTTTTAAATTAGTATTATTTACTTAATAATTCAACTATTTTTTTGAAAATTAATTTAATTACAAATTTTTAGGTCAAAAGAGTTCGTACATCTGAAGAAGTAAACTGTGGAAACTATAGAAATAGTATTTCCAATAATTATTATCCGGTTTACGAAAGAATTTTCATTAGAGATGTCAAACAGGATATTCAACTAACAATACTGACCGATAGAGCACAGGGAGGTTCCAGTGAAGCGGACGGACAGCTCGAGCTGATGCTTCACAGACGCCTAATTAAAGAAGTTTATGGCATTAATCTTAATGAGACCGGTGTTGATGGCAATGGACTGATAGTTCGTGGAAAACATTATCTTTTCTTTAAACCAATTAATGAATCACCAAAACTGTATCGTGATTTGGGTCGTCAACTATATTGGGAACCGTTGATCACATTTTCAACACTCAACGACAGCCAAGAGTCATATAAATCGAAATATCGGACCCAATATTCAGGTCTTACACAACCATTGCCTGAAAACGTGCATTTGTTGACACTGGAAAAGTGGTCACAAAATAAACTGCTCGTACGGTTGGAGCACATCTATCAAAAGGAGGACAACAACAGTCAACTGTCCAAACCAGTAATCATTGACTTACAGAATCTGTTCGAAGATATTGTTATCAAAGATGTCGTGGAAATGACTTTAAGTGCCAACCAATTGCTATCAGAATCGCAACAAAAAAAGTTAAAATGGATATCAAAGACATCAACAAATGATAGGCTAACGATTAATGCCATCAAAAATATTGTTGACATCAAACAGATTCAATTAATACCACAAGAGATTCGGACATTTATTATCACTGTTGATGATCACCAGCAAAGAGGTATATGATATACAGTATATTATAAATACCTAACTATTTGTTCTTATAAATTATATTCAATACTTACTATTATTTTAATTATAAATATTAATTTCCAGTTAATTGTTCCCTTCAATGGGTACCCCTAACTGATAGCAAAATACCGAGTGATGCTATTGTCGGTGGATTTGATGTCGATTCTTCACCGCTATATGTTTGTCGATATAAACACAATAATGACATAATTCCGGGGAAGGCTAACAATAAACTGGAATGTATTATCACGTCTGCGGGAAAGTCGTATAAAATTTTGACCGACTATGAGATACTTGTGGGACACGATTATGATTGGGTTCACAGACATGGCGCCGATGCTGTACCCGATCGGTCATTCATTGCCGGACATAACAGTCAGTCTACAAGTTCTATATATGTTGGCAAATGTGATCTGTTTATCGGTAATCGCGAGACACAAGTCGTAGGTAAAGTTGACCATAAGTTTTACTATGGATGGGGTGATGAAGAAAAAGCTGACTGTCCTAATCATAAAGTCATGATTTGCTAACTGAAAAGTAAAAAATCATTTTTTTTATTTTCTAATCCTAATTGTGAATTATTTTTAATTTTTATTAGTAGTGAATCAAATATTTTGTTTTTTTAAATGAAATATTCATTTTGAATAATACTATAATAAATAAATTGTACTCTAGTTATCAATTGATATTATTTATTTTGTGATTATTTGAGATATTAATATTAATACCAATAATATTAACATAAAAAATATAAATACTATTATGAAATATTTATCTTTATGGTAAATGTTTTTAAAATATTATTATGTAATTTATAATGTATGATAAATATATAACTATATAACTATATTATTAATATAATTATCACCATATATATATAGAATAAAATAAATTTTAATTATTTTTATTTATATCTTTTTTAATAAATACCAATACATGTATACTGTATAATAAAATACAAAAAGTAATAAATAATATTTTAATTATTATCTATCATAAATAAAAACAAAATAATTAAGCATCTATTAAACCAACCAATTATTTTATAAATATTATTAGTAAAACTGTTAAACTATAATACATTAATCAATATACAGTAATATTCAATAATAATAATTATATAAGTAATTATTTAAGTTTTAATTAAACGTTACAATGAATAACTTAAAATTTGTGTCACACTAATAATTTAAATAAAACTAAATTGTTAACTTTTGATAAATAAATCAATAATATAACACCTACTTCTATAATAAAATACATACAATTTTTTAACTAATAAAAAATTTAATTAATAATTTAGTAATACAATTTTTTAATAAATATTATTATGATTAATTTTTTGTAATTTATAATTATTTCTTTTAATAAAAAATAAATTAACTTTTGTATTGTAATTATTTGTTTTAACATTTCTATTTTGTATTTTAACTTTATATAAATAAAATTTTTGTTTGCAATATTTATAGAAATTTACTGTAAAATCTTTTAAATTAGTTGTTAACATAGCAATTGAAATACCAAACCATAGATTGAAAATACTGGCCATTAGACAGATATACTCTTCAAATGTCATACGATATGTAACATTATATATGGTGTCCGGTTCTGTTGGGTTTGTAAATTGCATTACAGTTAAATCGGGTTTAGTTGACTCCAGTGTATGAGTTGACGTTACATACGTATAGTCAACACAATTGATACGACCGGAGCACTTGATTTGGCAATTGGCCTCAATTGAATATATACGGGTTTCATTCAAATACCATGGCTTCAAATAGGTATCGTTAAACATATTATCCATTATATTGTGATTTCGGTAATAGAGAAATCCGTGCGGATAACCCAAACCGATCCGTTGGGACTCCACTATTATACACTCGTCTATACATTCATCAGATGTTTTGGATGCAAAACATTTTGCTGGATTGTACCTCAATTCAGGCCTTTTGATAACAATTTTATGATGACTAACAATATGATACTTGCCTTTAGTCAGCTGCACCTGTAGTTGATTTTCGAATAAGTGGTTTACATTATAAATACGTTTAGTACGCTTATGTAGTATAATATAGAGATTGTTGATTTTATTGCCCATCAACAACATTACAGTACTAAACTGTGCCATTTCAGGTGAATCAAACATTTGATCGGATTGATTGTACCACTGATGAAAATAGGTTACACAATAATCTTTGTCGCTAATTGAATAGATGTCCTGTTTATATTTACCCATTAGCATATAGTTATATAATTTGTTTGTTGGCAAATTGATTAGAAATTTTACTAACGGTGCCAAATGGTCATAATGTTTAGCCATTGGCTCACCAATCGATATGTTCATAACATAGTTATTGTAGTTATGCTTAGATAGATTTGCCGGTAATAACCAAAATAAATGTTTACTCAAACATACAGTGATTGCCGGCAATGAATCCCGTGATATTCGTTCATACATTACATCAGTGGTGGTCTCATATGATAAATATAAATGACTTATTTTCAAGATTTGATACAAACAGCCCATCAGACAAACTAAACCACTTATATATTTAAATTTCATGATTTTTACAAACATCAGTTTAAATTGTTAAAATAATATTCATGTAAAAATTGCATAAAAATATCTACTTTGCTTATTTATATTGACATTTTTTTTTTATTTCACTTTGAAAACAAAAATGTTTAATTTACAGTAAAGTAAAAATAATAATAATAATCAATAATAATAAGGTAGATACACTATTTGTATAATATTATTTAATTTGTTTATTACTATGTCATGAAAAATATTCTAAAAATTTAATTATTTAATTATACTATTGATTTTTATAGTTAATTATAATTATATACAATTATATATTTTTTATATAATATAACTGTAAATGCAAACACATTATACAGTACTATAGATTGTTATCACATTGTATAGTAAGTGCATACATATACCGATAGTACAATAATTAATTAATACAATGTATTGAATTGTATTGTCTGATTCCCAGTATCTCAGCTTTTGCTTGTAGTTAGTATTGGTATAAACATCCAGTATTTGGATAATTTAGTAGCTGTTAGTGTCATCGGAAATGTGTTGACATTTCCCAAAACATTTTTATATATTTATTTATAGAAACACTGACAACGGTTTACCTACAAAACCATAGACAATGCCCACACATTGCTTGACTATGAGTTTTATTTGTCGGTCACACCTAAACACGGGTCTATTCTTTTGTCTGAATTGACAAATATTATTATATATATTAGTAATTTTAATATATCTATTAATACAATATATATATATTTAAAAAAAACAATTATTTTTTGTTGTTTATATAAAGATATGTTGTATAAAAAAATATTAATAATTATACTTTGTTATTGTAATAAGAAATTAAATATAAATAAATAAAAATAATAATAAACAAACATTGATATTAAGTAAAATAAATTTATATATTATTTAATATGGATTATACAGATATATAAAAAGTGTCATTGAATTTATTATCTATAATTGAGATGTAAAAACCAATAATCCATGTTTTGGGTGGAGTAACTATGTATTACATAATTACGGTAATTGATATTTTTTTTGTAGTTAATGCATAATTTAAAATATTTTTGTATGTGTAGACTTAATTTTGTTTGTTTTTCTACAATTTATCTATTATGTAAAACAAAACTAAAATTTAGCTTAAAGTAATTGTTGTCATTGAGCTTTTTGGATAACAACAACAACATTGAAAATATTGTCAATATATTAATTACAAAATAATTATTTTTACGTCAGTTAAAAAATATTTTCGGTTTTAAAAAAATAAAATAGATTTATTAATAGTTATAAATTAATAAGTTTTATTAAAAACAACTATAGAATAATTAGAGAAAAAATCAATTAGTTTTTATAACAAACTTGACTTTTCAGTGCAGAAATAGTCCAAACTATTGAATATATAAAAGTAGTTTAAATATCTCTCATCAATACAGTCAAGTCAAACGGTCGTGTGTTCGAGTCTAACATAAATTATAATGCTTTTTGTCTATGAATTTTTTATGCATTTAATATTCATTTAATATCATTATATATATAAATATATATATAATAGTTTAATACAATTCAATAATAAAATTGTATGCACAGTATATTACTTATATTATTATAAATACTTAAATTAGTTTATTATTTAATTATACATAAAACAAATTTAGATTATCTTTGTTAATAAAAATATACAAACAATTTATTTATAAAGTATATTTATGATTAATTAATTTGCAATAATTTATAATTCTGGAAAAATTGTATAATTTAAATATCTACAAAATAATAATTATTAATGTGAAAACTAAACTATTTAATTTTTTTATGTAATGATTAAATAATTATTGCTTTAGTAAATGTAAATGTTATGTCTAATCAATGCTATTTATTGCTAATTTAGTTTAAGTGCATTTACGGTACTTTTTAAATAACTCCAATGACAACGATTAATAAAAACAAAAATATAAACTTTTCAAAAAAGATCGCATCCTATTATATAATAAAATAAAAGTATTTATTGATAAGTGAAATATTTATAATTTTTATAATATTTTAAATTATAAAAATTATTTTTTTTAATTCATTATTTTATTTATACAGAACTGTTATTTATTATATAGTTTTTAATATTATCTCAAATTCAATAAATTAGTTAATTATTTAATAGCATAAAAATATTTTATTAAAAGAAACATCAAACAAAATAAAATTATTATTTTGATAATTTACTTTATAACTTAGTTGGTTTTGGATATTTTGTAAAAACAAAAATTTGTGATTAAAACAACTAAAACAAATTGTAATGAATTCAATAATAATAAAATCACAATTGAAAAGTCCAAAACTGGATTTTACATGCATTTCGCAAATGATTTTCAATAGTTTAAAACAACTGCCAAATAGCATACAAATTGTAAGATTTGATTATTTATTATTATTATTACTAATAATTATTATTAAGATTTTAGTTATCTTATTATTTAAAAAAATTAATTTTAGTTTTATACTCTTCTTACTGTCTTAAAAATATTTATTACTAATGAAATTATTATATTGTATTAAAATATTTAGATCGATAGCGATACTGGACGTCATACTAGTAAACACCAGGTGCTCGACTATGGTCTAAGATTTGCCACATTTCTTATCGATGAATACCATATAAACACAGGCGATGTTTGTCTATTTACAGCTAAAAACTGTGATATTCACGGCATTGCTTTGATTGGAGTTATATTTTCGGGTGCCATCTATGCCTGTATACCGGACCACTCGACTGTCCGCGAGTTACAGGAAGTCATCAGACAGATAAAGCCAACTGTGCTGGTGATTGACACCGAAAAGTATGATGTGATGTCAAAGATTGCCTCAAAGTTCAATCTAAAAGTAATAGAAAAAATACTTTAAAATATTTAAATATAAAATAAAAATATTTTAACTAATTGTTTAGCTCCTGGTGCTCGAACAGCATGTAAAACATTTATCCATTGAAAACATATTTATAACGGATCGCCAGATAAATCCAATCTTACCGGTAGAGACCAGTTGGGAGACAACCATAACATTTGTTATGAGCAGTGGAACCACTGGTCGTCCCAAAGCTATTCGTCGCACAAATGGTAACCATTTGGCGACTGTGGCTATGTTTAAGCACCGGGAGTTGTTGCCAATGACCGAGAATGATGTATTGCTTTCCACTGCTTTTTTGCACATTTGTGGCCAACGATGTCTTTTCTCGGCCATCGAAAGCGGCGCACGGGTTCTAGCGCTGTCCTGCGATGAGTCTCACGGAGAGGTATTTGAAGCCATTAACAAATATGGTGTCACTCACGCTATACTGATGCCAACTCAACTCAACTATTTGGTCAAACATCCGGACCAATATCCTGCTAACTATTTTTCTAATCTCCGGGATGTATTGACAGGTGCGGCACCATTGGCTTTTGGCACCCATCAGGCAATTAAAGAGCGTTATAATTTTGAAAAGTTTTGCAACAGTAAGTATATTCAAACATTTTAATTTTTTAAAATTTATTTTTGTTGTTTTTTAGGCTATGGTATGTCGGAAAGTGGTTTTGTGTTAACTGTTCATTTGCATGAAAAAGACAATCTCAGTGATTGTGAAACAGTAGGTAAAGTAAATCCAGGATCAGAGATAATGGTAATTGACACCAATGGAAACTCATTAGGACCGGGAAAGTTGGGCGAGATATGTATCAAAGGAGATCAGGTATGCTAGAAATGAATACATATTATTGTTTAACATTATTTATATAATTATAATTATTAGGTGACTCCTGGCTATGTAAACAATGCTAAAGAAAACGAAAAACTCTTTACTCCGGAAGGTTTTCTCAAGAGTGGAGACATTGGATACTATGACTGCAATCACTTCTTCTATATTGTTGGTCGAAGTAAACAAATGATTAAAGTCGATGGTATGAGATATATATATATATATACACTAATATTTAGTGTCTTTTAATATTTTGATTGATTGTCACAATACAGGTGTCAGTATATCGCCGGTAGAGTTGGAGCATCTGTTGATCAGTCATAAAGACGTGGAAAATGCTGCAGTTGTCGGCATCAGTGATGATGAACGAGGAGAGGTTCCCATGGCTTTTGTTACCGTTATTGAGGGCGCCTACGTTACTGAGGAACAGCTCATTGAGTTTGTGGACAGTCAGGTAAACGATCACAAGAAGCTAAGAGGCGGACTCCGTATACTCGAGTCGTTTCCGACGACTCCCAGCGGAAAGATTCATAAATCAAAATTAAATACCGATAATCCTTTCTTTCATTAATTAATTAATTATTTATTTCAATATACTGTATAATATAGTTATACAATATATTTAAATATTATAATAATTATTATTTTTCATTACTATCAGAGTTTTAAGTTCACTATTCAAAAATGAGTAATGTTATGATAGTATTTAAAATAATAAATTTAAAATATAAAAAAAAATAATCGATTAAATGTACCAAAATTTTGCATACTATAGTTTTTGTTACTGCACTTATTTATTAATAATAAACCATAGGTTATTTACTGTATATAAAAAATATTAATAATAGTCTTTCCAATAGCCATCACATGTTTTTGCAAATAAATTATCAAAAATATCAACTGTTGAATTAGGATTTAAATTATAAACTTTGGACACCCGTTTCGGGTTATTTAAGTCAATCAGATTTGGCCAATCGTTGTTTGGTTTTCTATTATTTGTATTAATCAAGTATTTAACAAACAATTAATTTTTTTATGATATCATAAATAAAATTCTAGTACAACTGTACCCGTATTTTGCAAAATCGGTCCACATTTTCATAACTTGTCGACTAAATTGAACATAGATTTCGGTATCAGTTTTCAACGGTTTAATAAATGACAGACCAAACACAAAGTCAATATCTGCGCCATGAGTGACACCAAAACGGGCCATCGGGTCATCCTTACCGTATGCGCGTCGATATGTTTGCTCATAAAAATATACATTACTATGTTTGTTAGCACCGGTATTAAGGGCATAATTTTTGGCAAACAAATACGTTGGACAGTTCATCAATAGGTCGCCGTACAGGTCATACACGATCCACTCTAAGTCATGTGAATCGGTTTTATTTGCCACATAAATGTCGGCAATTGATGTGGCATTCAGGTTATGAAACATATTATCAATAGTATTTACAAATTTGATAAAATCATCCCTGGTTATATTATGTGGTATCTGCCATAATTTTGATGCATATAATAACAATGATCCCTCATGTTGTGCCACACCAGCAATTATATCAATATCTAAATTATATGTTATTTGTTATTATAAATTATTAAATTAATTTTATAACAACTTTAATAATTTTGTTAATAATAGATATAATCTTAATCATTTAACATACTATTAAATTAGTTAAATATAAAATGTAGTTTATAGATAAATTAATATTATAAAAATTTTGAATTTTATACCTTTATTGAAATTTTTAGTTTCAAATGCTTTTTGTGCACTGAATGGCAAAAATTCAGTCTCAAGTAATGGAAATATATTGACTACACTATCGACGATATCCTCGGCATCGACTCAACGCAAACAGTCCAACCATTGACTTTCACTGCAATTAAAATTTTTTGCTAATTGTTTGCTCTGGTTTAGCACTTGAGCTTTATCTACTGGTGCTCTGAGTTTATTATAAAACTGGGAACCGCTTTGCATAATAGCTCTCTTAAATAAGCCTTTAGCTATTGGTGACAACAGTAATGTCGATACGGACCAACTCCCGGCTGATTCACCAAATATAGTGATCTGGTCCTTATTGCCACCAAACTTATGTATATTATCTCTAACCCATTGAAGTGCCAAAACTTGATCAAACAGTCCAACATTTCCCGGTGCCGACGCGTTATCGCCAAATAAAAATCCAAGCCAACCCAACCGGTAATTAATGGACACAACTACTACATCATGAGCTGCCAGTGCACTGCCATTGTATGCCACTTCAAAACTAGAACCCATAATAAGTGAATCCAAAACATTACCGGTTTTAAGACATTATTATTATTTTCATATTTTGTCCACACATTCAGCACCAGACAGTTCTCACTAGAGGTTAGATTTTGGATAACTATATCTGTTATGTTAAGATTTGTTTGATAACAACTGTTTCCAATTTTTGTGCCATCGATTAACTAATTATTTATAGATAAAAATATATCATAATTAATAACAAATATAATTGTCAATTAACAACTTTACAATATTAGATTTATTTAATAAATTGTCATTTAAAAAAAACAATCCAATATATTATTATTTATTAATTGTTACATAATAATAATAATAATATACTATCGATGTTATTAATATCTAATAATGTTGTTTACTTTATTAACTAATTTGTTTACCTGTTTTGGATGTTTCAATGGTTCGGGTTTAGAGAACCGGAGTCTCCCGAATGGCGGTTCGGCGTACGGTATGTTCAGATATTGTGCGATACTTGTGTTGAGCACATGTACTGACTGACCCTTTACCGGCCCAGAAGTCGTATTGACAATTAATTCATTACAATTGATGTATTGTATAAATAGATAAACAAAATTACTAAATAAAAATATTTTTTGAAACATTTCTCTATTAATTTAAAAATAAATAACTATAATCTTTCATATAACGTAAATAAGTTTATAATTAAATTTATTAATTATTAAAATATGAAAAATTTAAGCTTTATATAAGATATTTTTTTATAGATATATATCTATTCTATAGATTTATGGAAACTTTTAATTTATAATAATTAAGATAAAACTACTTATACTGCAAATACAATTTTAGTGCATTTAAAGCATTAGATGGTACAGTATATACGTTACCATTATCTATACTTTTATTTATTGAACCAATTATTAATATACAATAATCAATATTTATAATATAGATATAGTCATTCAGTACACATATGTACAGTATTATGAAAAATAAAAAAACGAAATTATGTCAAAATATAAAATAGATATAATTGTTGTTATACTGGATATACAATATACAAAATTACAAATTGTATTATAAGTTATAATTTATAAGTGTAGATACTATATTAAATGTTTTTTATTTGTTGTGATATTGTAATTTAATTTTTAATATCAGCTTACATTAATTATTAATATAGAATAATAATAATAGTTAGAAAATTAAAATGTTAGTACATTATAAAAAATACATAATGATTAAAATACTTTTTAAGCATACAACATTAAACAAATAATTTTAAAAATTTTGTAATTGAAAATTGTAATTTTGATTACAATAAAAATATGAAATTTCTGTTATCAATATTAATAATATCATTAAAAATGATATCATTATAAATTAAAACATTGTATCATAATTTAGGAAAAATTAATTACTCGGCTATAAATAAAATAAATTATACAGTTAATCTTAATTTTTTATTTAATCAAATATTTTGTACTTATTTCATAAAAAAATTGTTTAGTGTCTAATAATAAATAATTTAATTTTAATTTATTAATTCTATTTATGAATATAGTTCATGATAATTTATTAAATATTAATTTTAATAGATATTTATTATTAAATTTTTATAGTTAATTTATTTATGTTCAAAAAAAACTTGAAAAGTTTTGTTTTCTGAAATCTATACGAGCCTTTTGTGTGTGTGTGTGTGTGTTTGTGTGTGTGTTTGTGTGTGTGTGTGTAGCATTTTTTTGCGATAATTTTGAAATTCTGACTTCAGATTCGGTTAGAGGACTACTAATAATATATTGAAAAGTTGTATTAAAATTTTGATATCTCTTCGGGAACATATAGAAAATGGCGGCCAAAGTAAAGAAAATTTTAAGAAAAAATATTTTAAGTATAAATTTGAATAGAGCATCAAAAGCAAGCATAAAAATATGCATTAAAATTTTGATATCTCTTCAGGAACATAGAGAAAATGGCGGCCAAAATAAAAAAAAATTTAGGTAAAAATTTTAACGTTTAGAATTGTATAGAGCATCAAAAATAAGATATAATAAATTAAAATTATTTTTTTTTATTTTTTTAAAAATGGCGGCCAAAGTAAAAAAATTTAGGTAAAAATTTTAACGTTTAGAATTGTATAGAGCATCAAAAATAAGATATAATAAATTAAAATTATTTTTTTTTATTTTTTTAAAAATGGCGGCCAAAGTAAAAAAATTTAGGTAAAAATTTTAACGTTTAGAATTGTATAGAGCATCAAAAATAAGATATAATAAATTAAAATTATTTTTAAAAAAAAATGGTGACAAATGTATAAAAAATTAAGGTAAATTTTAGCGCTTAGAATTGTATATAGTATTAAAAATAAGATATAATAGATCAAAATTATATTATTTTTTCAAAAAATGGCAGCAAAAGTATGATTTTAACTGTTTATTTTGTTATACTAAATCATTTAATACCAAACATGCTTATATTTGTTTATTTCATTATATTAATCATCTGATACTCTACATGACTAGAGTTGAGTTTATTTTGTCATACAGAGTAATTTGATACCCTACATGACTATGGTTGTTTATTTTGTCATACCGAATCATTTGATACCATACATGACTATAGTTGTTTATTTTGTCATTCCGAGTCATTTGATGCCCTACATGACTATAGTTGAGTTTTGTTTGTCATTCCGAGTCATTTGATACCCTACATGACTATGGTTGAGTTTATTTTGTCATACCGAGTCATTTGATACCCTGCATGACTATAGTTGAGTTTTGTTTGTCATTCCGAGTCATTTGATACCCTACATGACTATGATTGAGTTTATTTTGTCATACCGAATCATTTGATACCATACATGACTATAGTTGAGTTTATTTTGTCATTCCGAGCATTTGATGCCCTACATGACTATAGTTGAGTTTTGTTTGTCATTCCGAGTCATTTGATACCCTACATGACTATGATTGAGTTTATTTTGTCATACCGAATCATTTGATACCATACATGACTATAGTTGAGTTTATTTTGTCATTCCGAGCATTTGATACCCTACATGACTATGGTTGATTTTATTTTGTCATACCGAGTCATTTGATAACCTACATAACATTATTTAAATTATGTATATTTTACCAGTTTTTTATTTTTTGTTACTATATAAATTAATACTATATAATTATACCAACTATTTGGTTTCAACATATTTATGATATTCAAGTTTTTTTTCTAATAATGCTTTCTAGCATTCTTAACTGGTTTTATTATAGAGTTAAAAGCACTTTTATAAAATGAAAAAAATACAAATTAACATAACATTTAGTTATTTAATAAAATAAAACATATATAACAAAATTTTTTATAAAAGTATAGACTTAAACACAATAATTATTTTAAATTTATAAAAAATATGTAGTAAACAACAATATTAATTAATTATAATAATTTTGCCAAAATCCTTCACATGTGTTTTTAAATAAATTGTTAAATATATGGATATCTTGTTTAGGATTCAAATTGTATACTTCAGGTACGCGTTTCGGGTTAATTGGGTCAAACAGTTTTGGCCATTTGTTGTTAGGTTTTCTAATGATTCATTTGAAAACATTAATTTAATAGAAAAATTAAAACTTAAAATAACTGATGAATATATATAATATATATAAATACCCATATTTAGCAAAATTGGTCCACATTTTCATGACATCTCGAGTAAATTTAATATCATTTTCGGTATCAGTTTTTTGCGGATCAATCAATGGTAAGCCAAACACAAACGGCAGATCTGCTCCGTGACTGACATCAAAATACTCTAACGGATCTCCTTTTGAATACGTCCGATGATAGGTAATCTCATAAAAGTACACATTACTGTGCTCAGCACTAGTATGTTGAGCATAGTTTTTAGCAAATTGATAGGTTGGACACGCCATCATTAAGTCACCAAAAACATCAAACTCAGCCCATAGTAGATCATGTGTACCGGTTTTATTGCCCACATATACCTGAAATAGCCGTGGCATTCAAATTATGAAATACACTGTCGATTCCGTTAATAAACTCAAAAAAATCATCCCTGGTCAAATTTTCAGGTATATGTCCACCCATATTTGAAATTAATAAAAGTGAACCTTCATGTCTGGCCACACCTGCCATTAGATCTAAATCTATTAAATAAATGTAAATTTATAAATATTTGTATTTGAAATACAGTATATATAGTATTTATTAAAAACCTTTATTAAAGTTTTTTGTTTGAAATGCATTTTGTGGACTCATTGGCAGGAATTCAGTTTCAAGTAAAGGAAATACAGTTAGATTTGAGTCGTCGGCATCTATGATGTCTTCGGCATCTACTTTACGCAAACAGTCCAACCAATGATTTTCACTACAATTAAAATACCTGGCTAATTGTTTGCACTCAGTGAGTGTAGAAGTTTTATCTATCGGTGCTTTTAATTTGTTAAAAAATTCAGCACCACTTTCCATAATAGCTCTTTTGTATAAACCTTTAGCATAGGGTGACAATAGTAGTGTCGATACCGACCAACTGCCAGCACTTTCACCAAATATTGTAATCTGATCCTTATGACCACCAAATCTATGTATATTATCTCTAACCTAAAATGATTACTATTGTTATATATTTAATAAATTATATATATATACATTATATATTTGAATTAACAATTAGTACCCATTCAAGTGCCAGCACTTGATCAAATAGACCGACATTTCCCGGTGCTGACACATTATCACCAAAAAGAAAGCCAAACCAACTCAATCGGTAATTAATTGACACAACCACTATATCATGTGCTGCCAGTGCACTGCCGTTATATTGTTTTTGAAAACTTGATCCATATAATAGGCCGCCCCCGTGAATCCAAAACATTACCGGTTTTAATATATCAGGTGTTTTATTATCATTGTTTGGCGACCAAACGTTTAATACCAAACAGTCCTCATTTTTGGTTAGATTACCAAAAAAATCTTTATACATCGTATCATTGAGTACTGACTGCCAACAACTGTTCCCAGTTTTTGTCCCATCAATTAACTAAAAAAATTATAAATATAATTAAAATACTTATTTTTATATTATAAAAATTAATATTTTAAAAATAAGTGATAACAACAAGAATTGTTACCTGTTTTGGATGTTTCAATGGTTCGGGTTTTGCGAACCGGAGTCTCCCGAGTGGCGGTTCGGCGTACGGTATGTTCAGATACTGTGCAATACTTGTGTTGAGCACATGTATGTCGAGTCCTTTAACCAAACCTGATGTGGTGTTTACGGTTGGATCAATACAATCGTTTAGTTGTATTATGTTAAATATCAGATATATAAAAAATTGGTTTTTCACAAACATATTTATAGTTTTGATATATTGAGTTTCAACTATTTTAAAATAAAATAAAATAAAAATTTATACTTTACATATTTCTGTATTTATTTACATAAACTATTGTAAAATTAATATTCAAAGTTTAAATGTATTTTCTAATAAAAAATAAATATTTATGATTTAATAAAACAAAAAATAATTTGGTATACCTGTATGTGTTACTTAATTAATGTATATCAATAAAATATAAGTTTTTCTAAATAATAATAACATAATATTTATATATATATATATATAATTTTTTATTATTTATAAGTTATTACATAATTTTATATTAAGATAATACAATAATAGAGACTATTCACAATTGATATTTAAGAAAAATCACAATTTGTGCACCAATTGCACTAAATGTTAAGTATTTACAGGTAATAATTAGATAAAAGTTTTTATCAATTTTGTTTTTTGATAATTTTTCTATAGATTTTTACTATAATAATACAGGTTTTTAAAATTTAAAATATTTTTTTGTACTAATATGATTTTAGAGTCTAATTAAATATCAATTGTATTATTGTATAATTTTTATTTATACAATAAATTGTTAAATATTAAAATATTAAAATTATTTTTTAAAAATTATTATCTAATACAGTAATTAGTTTTATGAATTTGTATTTTATTATAGAGCCTCTATAATAGAGATAACAAATTAAGTAAAAATAATTTTTAAAAAATACATATGAAAAAATTAGTAAGACTTAGATAATGATTAATTTATAATTTTAATTATAATAATTTTGCCACAATCCGTCACAAGTGTTTTTAAATAAATTACTAAATATTTCGTTTCGTTGAATAGGATTTAAGTTGTATACTTCGGGTACTCGTTTCGGGTTAATCGGGTCAACCAGTTTTGGCCATTTATTGTCAGGTTTTCTTATGATTAATTAAAAAAAACATTAATTTAATTGAAAAATTTAACTTAACTGATATTATTAACTAATTAATAATATACCCATATTTGGCAAAATTAATCCACATTTTCATAACATCTCGACTAAATCTAACATCAATTTCTGTATCAGTTTTTTGCGGATCAATCAATGGTAAGCCAAACACAAACGGCAGTTCTGCTCCGTGACTGACATCCAAAAATGTCATCGGATTTCCTTTGGCATATGTCCTATGATAGGTAATCTCATAGAAGTATACATTACTGTGCTCAGCACTGGTATGTTTTGCATAGTTTTTGGCAAACTGATAGGTGGGACAAGTTATCATTAAGTCGCCAAACAATTCAAACTCAGCCCACAGTAGATCATTTGAATCGGTTTTGTTGCCCACATAAACCTCGGCTATAGCCGTGGCATTCAAATTATGAAACACACTATCGATGCCCTGTGCAAAACCTATAAAATCATCCCTGGTCAAATTTCCAGGTATATGCCCACCCATAGTTGAAAATAACAAAATTGAACCTTCATGTTTGGCCACTCCGGCCATTATATCTAAATCTATATTTTTAAAAACAAAATTAATTTATGAATTTTAGTTTTTTGATGTTTTACTAAATTTTTTTTCTTTATAAAAACCTTTATTGAATTGTTGTGTTTGAAGTGCTTTTTGTGGACTCATTGGTAGAAATTGAGTCTCAAGTAAAGGAAAAACATTAAGATTCACGTCCTCCACATCGATAATGTCTTCGGCATCAACTTTGCGCAAACAGTCCAACCATTGACTATCACTACAATTAAAATATTTTGCCAATTGTTTGCACTGATCAAGTGTCGAGTTTTTATCTACAGGTGCCTGTAATTTGTTGAAAAATTCGGCACCACTTTCCATAATAGCTCTTTTGTAGAGACCTTTAGCATAGGGTGACAATAGTAATGTCGATACGGACCAACTGCCGGCACTTTCACCAAATATGGTAATCTGATCCTTATCGCCACCAAAGTTATGTATGTTATCTCTGACCTAAAATTAATTTTAAAATATTTTATATTTACTATTTTATAATTAAATTTATTTTTTTTAAAAATAATACCCATTGAAGTGCCAACACTTGATCAAATAATCCGACATTTCCTGGTGCTGACTCGTTATCACCGTAAAAAAATCCAAACCAACCCAATCGGTAATTAATTGACACAACCACTACATCATGAGCTGCCAGTGCACTGGCGTTGTATTGTTTTTGAAAACTTGATCCCAAAATTAAGGCTCCCCCGTGAATCCAAAACATTACCGGTTTTAATACATTTGATGTTTCGTTATTATGATTTGCATTAGTATTTGGTGTCCAAACGTTTATTACCAAACAGTCTTCATTTTTGGTAAGATTTCCAATAAAATCTTTAGTTATATTGTTTACTAATTGCCAACAACTGTTACCAATTATTGTCCCATCAATTAACTAATAATTAATAATATTTTTGTAAAGTTTATTTTTTTAATAAAATAATAATAATAGTAGTAATTAAATTAATATAAGTATATTTTTATTAGAAAAAAACACCAATTGTTACCTGTTTTGGATGTTTTAATGGTTCGGGTTTAGCAAATCGGAGTCTCCCGACTGGCGGTTCGGCATACGGTATGCTCAGGTACTGTGCGATACTTGTATTGAGCACATGTATGTTTAATCCTTTCACTACACCTGATGTGGTGTTAACTATGGCAGCATTATTACATTGGTTAAAACTTATAAAACTATTTAAAATCAAAAACAAAAGTTGTATTTTTAACATCATTTTTACAGCCATTCAAAAAACAAACAAAAAAAAGTTTGTCAAAATGCTAACTCATTAAATATTTTTAATTAAATGATATTATTTTCATAAAAATCGAAGTTATATTTATATATAAGTATTGTTTTTTATTGTTGATTAATTTCACAGTATAAATAAATAGCGGATTTATTTATTTTTTAATCAATTTTGCAATTCATAGAATAACCTTTTAATTTATTGTTATTATATTATTATTTTATTTATCTTTATCTATATATGTAATGTACAGTATGTTCAATACTGCATAATATTTGTACTGTATAATTGTTATAATTACTGTATTATACTGTATATAAAAATAAATTATTTATTCAGTACATTCAGGTTTTATATATATTGTGCAATTGTATGTATAATTTAAGTACATTCAGATCTCAAATAATAATAATAATAATTTATCATTTAATAGCATAACATACAGTAATAAAATATATTGTTTTAACTTTCAAGTGGATGTTCCCGATATACTGTATGTAATCAATAGACTGTAATACAGTACACGTAGAAAAGTGATTCACTTTAAAAAAATATTTGTTTTATTATTATAATTTATATAATGGACCTTGATATAATTATAAAGTTATAACATAAATATATAGTAATACAAATTAAGTAAGTTATTTATCTTACTTGAGTTTGATATAAGTTTTACAAACAGTTATAATATGATTTATACTGTAATTGAGATATAAACCTATTTTGTTTTTTAAAAATCGATTACTAGTTTTAACTATTAATAATGCATTAAAATATATATAAATTATATTAATATTTATAAACTATTAGTAATTTAAATATTTATTTTTAATATGCGATTTAAATTTTTTTTTAAAAAATATTACAATCATATTATTAATTATTATAATTGATTAATTTTTGAAATACATTTTGATTGTAATTATAAATTATTGTAAAATTTAATTATAATAATTATGCCAAAATCCTTCACATGTTTTACTAAATAAATTAATAAAACTATGAGTTTCTATATTGGGATTTAAATCGTAAACTATTGGTAAATATTTCTGATGTTTAGTTTCAATGAATTTTGGCCAAACGTTTGATGGTTTGCTATTAGAAATTGAAAACAAATTAGAAATAATTATTAGTTATTATATTAAATTTTATAATAAAATTAATTATTTTTTAGTAAATTAACCCATATTTGGCAAAATCAGTCCATAGTTTCATTACACGTTTACTAAACTGAACATCTACTTGTGTGTCCGTTTTTTCCGGTTTAAGCACTGGTAGTCCAAACACAAAGTCAACATCGGCTCCGTGTGTGACATTCAATTGTTTAACAGCACCCAAAGCATTAGTTTCGCGCTGGTATGTGATCTCATAGAAATATACATTATTACTACCGGTGCTACTGCTGAGCAATGAATAGTTTTTGGCAAACAAATAGGTCGGACATGTAATAAGGAGATCCCCGTACAGGTCATACATAGCCCACTCGATATCGTGTGATTTGGTTTTGTTAGCCAAATAAAAATCAGTAATTTTTTTGAAATCATTTAAATGAAAAGTACTATTCATAGATAAAAGCAATCCTTGAAAATTAATGGCGGTTTGATTGTGAGGCAACTCTTTGCCAGCATTCAATAGGGCAGAGCCCTCATGAGGGGCCACACCAGCTAAAAGGTCTACATCTTTTTTTAGAAAAATATGTATAGATTTAATAAAATTATAATTTTGATAAATGTATCAATATATTCAAACCTTTGTTAAAATTTTTAGTATCAAATGCCTGTTGTGCGCTCATTGGGAGGAACTCCGTTTCGAGTAACGGTAGAATCAGACTAAATCCTGAATATTTCATGAATTTTTGTGCCTCCACTTTACGCAAACAGTCTAACCATAGCTGTCTATCCAATGAACAGTTAAATTCTTTGGCCAGAAATAAACTTACGGCCAGAGCTTCCGATTTAGACGCCGGCACTCTCTGTTTGTTGACCATCATTGCCGCACTTTCCATAATAGCCCGTTTGAATAGACCTTTTGATAGTGGAGATAATAGATGGGTAGACACTGATAAACTGCCGGCACTTTCACCAAATATAGTAATATTATTTTTATCGCCACCAAATTCATGTATATTTTCTCTGACCTATTGTTATATAATATTATATATTTATTTAAAGCTTAATTAATTATAAAGAAATCCATTACCCATTTAAGTGCTAACAGTTGATCATATAATCCTAAATTTCCTGGAGATGACTGTTGGTCTCCATAAAGAAAACCTAATATATTTAGCCTATAATTAATACTCACAACTACCACATCATGTGATGCCAGTGCACTTGCGTTGTATTCCCACTGAAAACTGGATCCAATTGCAAGCCCTCCGCCGTGAATCCAAAACATAACCGGTTTTAATACATTTGATTTATTGAAATTATTAGGTGTCCACACATTTAATACCAAACAATCCTCATTTTGTGTTAGATTTCCCAAAAAGTGGTTCAATAAATCTGATTTTGATTGAATACAAGAATTTCCACTTTTTGTGCCATCGATTAACTAAATATAATAATATTACTATAAATTAATGTATATTTTTGAATTAATATTAAATACCTGTTTTGGACGTTTCAATGGTTCGGGTTTAGAGAACCGGAGTCTCCCGAGTGGCGGTTCGGCGTACGGTATGTTCAGATACTGTGCGATACTTGTGTTGAGCACATGTATGTCAATTCCTTTAACTAAACCTGATGTGGTATTTACGGTCGGATTAATACATTTGTTTAATTGTATTAAATTATATAATATGATTAATAAAAATTGTATTTTCAATAACATGTTGACAAAGTTAGTGGAATATAGTATTTGATATTATTATAGTAATTAAAACTAAATTTAGTAAAATTAAAATTACTTATTATATATTTATTTTATTGACAATTACCATTATTAATTTACCGTATATAACTAGGTTATTTTTATTATTTTAAATGAATAATATTGTATATAATGTATATAATTGAAGTAAAGTATATAAAGGTTAAGTATGTTTACTATAACAATAATATCATATATTATTAAATTAAAACTAATTTGAGTCGTAAACAAAATATTATATTTTGTTAAGTAAAAGATATTTTATTGTTAAAATTTTTAACTTATAACTGTTTTATGAAAATCTTTGACATATTTATAGATTAATTAAAGTTAAAAGTTAAAATTAATTATTAATTTAAATTAAATTATAAAATTATAATAAATGTACTAATACTAAAAAAAACTAATAAAGTATATTATAGTAACTAAAATGATCAATACTTTTTTAAATACAATTTTTATAAGCGTTTAAATAATCTTTAAGTTGAGATAGTGTAATAAACTATTAATATATTAAGAATTTAATAAATTTAATTGAAAAATCAATATTTTTTAATTAATTAATTAAAACTAAACAAAATTAAATCATTTTTAAAAAATTATTTATTAAATATACAATTAAATATTATTTGTATGTAAATACATTTTTATAAAAATTTATTAAAAAATAAGTTTATTTTAGATATTCTTTTGCTATAATATTTCAATTAAAATAATTTTTCCAAAAGCCATCACATGTTTTGCTAAACAAATTATTAAATATATGTGTATCAGTATTGGGATTTAAATCATAGATTTTATGAACATATTTTGGATCTCTATTATCAACTAATTTTGGCCAAACAGTCGATGGTTTGCTAATATATTTAAAGCAAATAAATCACATTATGTTAGATGTATTGTAATTTTATAAAATATTTATTACCCATATTTAGCAAAATCGGTCCATATTTTCATAACATGTCTACTGAATTCAACATCCAATTCAGTATCACTTTTCTCTGGTTTAAGCACTGGTAGGCCAAACACAAAATCAAGATCAGCTCCATGAGTCACATCGGTCTCTTTAGGTAATCCCATTGAGTTTGCTAAACGTTGATAAGTTAACTCATAAAAGTAGACATTATTATTATTACTGTCGGCATCGGTATACTGAGTATAACTTTTGGCAAATAAATAAGTTGGACACGAAAGGGTTAGGTCACCCAAAGCATCGTAAAGAGCCCATTGAATATCGTGTGATGAAGTTTTGTTGGACACATAAAACCCGGTTATATCACTAACATTAAGATTATGAAATGTCAAATCAAAATTATCCATAAATATAATGAAATCTTTTTTGGTCATATTGTGTGGCACTTGACCCCCAGGATATAGAATGCCGACCCCTTCATGTCGAGTAATACCAGCTATTATGTCAATATCTATTGAATATTTTTTTAAGAAAAAATTTATTAATTTAATATAAAAATAGTAATTTTTAAATATTTTTTTTGTAAACCTTTGTTGAAATATTTAGTTTGAAATGCTTTTTGTGCATTCATTACTAAAAATTTGTTATCAATTAATGGATAAACTAAAAAACTTGATTTATATTTTATGAGTTCCCGGGCGTCAACTTTGCGTAAACAGTCTAACCATTGACTGGTCGTACAATTAAACTGTTTGCCTAATTGAATGCTTTGTTGTAGAGCTTCGGTAGTATTTAATGGTTGTCTTAATTTATTATAAAATGTGGCACCACTTTGCATAATAGCTCTCTTGAATAAGCCTTTAGATAGCGGTGACAGTATATGTGCTGATACTGACCAACTACCGGAGCTTTCGCCAAATATTGTGATTTTATCTTTATTGCCACCAAAATTATGTATGTTTTCTCTGACCTATTAATATTTGCACAGTTACCTTACTTATGAGTAAAAGACATAACTTTTAAATGTTACTTTTAAAAAATCAATTACCCATTTAAGTGCTAATAACTGATCAAATAATCCCACATTTCCCTGAGCTGACGACTCTTGTTCATCATATATAAACCCAAATACATCCAACCTGTAGTTAACAGAGACAACCACCACATCATATGCTGCCAGTGCACTGCCATTGTATACCCATTGAAAACTGGACCCAAGTTTAAGACCTCCGCCGTGAATCCAAAACATAACCGGTTTTAAAACATTTGATTTTTCGTTATCATTAGGTGTCCATACGTTTAACACCAGACAGTCTTCGTTTTGTGTTATATTTCCCATAAAATGTTTTATTGAATCCATAACTGTCTGAACACAAGAGTTGCCTGTTTTTGAGCCATCGATTAACTTAAAATAAGATAGAAATCGATATATTATTTTTATTTTAAAAATATTTCTTATATATTATAATTAATATAATAATTGTTACCTGTTTTGGATGTTTTAATGGTTCGGGTTTAGAGAACCGGAGTCTCCCGACTGGCGGTTCGGCGTACGGTATATTCAGGTACTGTGCGATACTTGTGTTGAGAACATGTATGTCGAGTCCTTTCACTACACCTGATGTCGTGTTTACAGTAAGTTCAGTACAATAATAAATTTGTAAAATATTGACCAAAACATATAACACAAATGTAATTTTCAACAACATCTCTATTAGTTGTATTATTTCAAGATATATTTAAAATAAAATATTTACTAAATAAATAATTAGACTATTTTTACACAAACAAATATACAAATATTACATTATTTTATTTTTGATTACAACAAAAGTATTACATTTTTGTAAATAATATTAATAATTTTATTAATTTAACAAAAAAAAATAATTATCTATATTTGTATAGTAATTAAATCAACCTATCTTTTTAAAAAACATTTATAAACTAAAAAATTATTTTAGAAATGTTATTTATAAAGTACTACATTTTTATCTTAGATATTTTTAATCCAAATAGTTTTAATTTATTTATAATATTTTATAAGTGTCTAATATTTTTGTTGAGTGCTTAGTAAATATTGTATATTAGATAAATATTTTAATAATTTAGTTCATCATTTGTAATATAATTGTTAAATAAATATTTTTTATTACATTATATTTTAATATTATTTTAATTATTTTATTTATTAGTTTAATTCTATTTTTAAACAAATAAAATCTAAAATAAAATAACAATAATTGAATAGCTAAAAATAGATAAATAAATAATTATACAGTATTTATCTTGTATGTGATATACAATAAAATATACTGAATATAAAGGTACATATATATTAACCAATATATAATGGTGTCTATAAAAATAAAATAATTAATATTTATCTTTATTTAATTAAAGAATAAAAATAATGATAATTTATTATGTTTTCTATTTATATTATTAGTTAATAATTGATATTAATTGTATTTAACCCAAACTATTATTATATAATCAAATTTAGTTTAAACATTTAATCAGATTAAGTGTCCCATTGATTGCCACAAAATTATATACTGATATATATTTTAACTCTTAAGATTAGTGTTAAACATTCAACTGGTATTATAATGTCTATATATATACACTGTATATACTGTAAATATAACTGTTTATATAATATACCGGTAGTATATAGACATTATAATACCAGTTGAATGTTTAACACTAATCTTAAGAGTTACAATATTAATATAAAGTGACAATTTATACTGTACTGTATATTATACAGTATAAATTGTCACTTTATATTAATATTTTAAATAATGGGTGATTCACATCTTACGTTAGCACTTTTTAAGAAATCTAAACCCCTCCCCTATGTTTGCAATTTGTTTGTTTGCAGTTATTCATAAAAATTTGCTTTTACCGACACCCCTTTTTCCCCTAAGTGCGAACGTAATATGTGAATCACTTCTAAAAAGTAAATTAATTATACTAAATTAGATGATTATAGACACAAATTAGTAATTAGGATTTTTCTTAAATTTCAACATTATTGAACACTTAATATTAGTTAAATATATTATTAAATAATGTTAAATTTAAAATTTAAATGAATAATATGGTTACTAATGTTGGATATAAAATAAAATAATTATTATACTGTGTTAATATAGTGAGTAATATAATATATTTTATTACCGATATTTTTTAATATATAGTATTAATCATAATTTATGATTACAATTATATTTTTTATTAAATAATTTATTTTATAGCATTTCATTATTAATTATATGAAAAAATATACATACATTTTAATGAAAGTATTATCTAAAAATAATGTTATTTTTTAATATGTGATAATTTATTTATTATATCATTGCCTAACAGATAACAAAATTAATCTTTATTTTTATAAATATTATAATAGAAATTTATTTAGACTATTTTATACACTGTATATTCTACAATATATATTTTTATTATTAAAATTAATAATAAAATTAGATTATTTTTATATATGTATTAAAATAACTTATATTAAAACATAACGCAATACCTGTAAATCAACATTAAATTAATATCTAGACTTTTCATATTAAAATTCATAAAAATTATTTCACATACAGTATTGAAATTTTAGGATAACATCAAAGGAAATAAATATATCTAATCATTATGAAAAAAACAAACAAATTTATATATATACTAATATTACTACATAAATATGTCTTAATAATAATGTAATATTGATATATAAATATAAAAAATCTAAACTATATTTATTTAGCTAAACTATTAATATATTAATTACTAGTGGGCTGTATGTTAAACAGTTTTAATTTATTAAAACATTATTAAAATTATATATTACCTAGAAATGACAAATACCTTATTGTATTGAATCATTAGTAATTTTACACTAATTATTAATACTATAAAATGTTTTATAATAGTTATGAAAGCTTACAAATATTATAAATCTTATTTTTATATACAGTTTCCGACTAAATAAAGATTACAATATTGATAATTTGATTGTTTGAATCACCATATATTTCAATATTGTTAAATTAATAAATATATTAATATACTAGTATTAATGCAATTTCTTTTTTAAATGTAAAGTATATAAATAGGTGTACCATTGATCTAACCCTTTAGTTTCAGTAATTAACAGTAAATTTCATTATTGTTTTACTAAAAAGTTTACTTATATTTATTAAATATAATTGATTTAAGCTATAGTACAATAGTTATAACTTTTCAAAAATGATTATTTATATAATTACATCAGTTTTTACACTTTTATTTTCAATTATTTTCTATTTCTATTGGTATATAAATATTTAAATAATAAATTTGAATATTAATTGAATTTATTAATTTTATTATTAATTTGACTGAATATTAAATATTTAAATTTAAATAATAAAAACTTTAATAAATTATTAAAACTAATCAATTTTTTATATCTTACTATTTTAGGCGCTATGGATGGCAACTAAACTACTGGTCCAAACAGGGTGTTCCGTGCCGTTACCCTAAAAGCTTATTGTCTTATATAATACAACCATATGCCTACGAAAAAATATCAATGGACATGACATCATTACAAAAACATGGCAAAGTTTACGGGTATTGTTATTGAACTAATTGTATATATATTACTATTAAGCACTTGTATCTAATTTTCAACAATCAACAGCTCATTTTATAAAGGCATACCTGTACTCAACATTACCGAACCTGAACTAATCAAACAAATATTTGTCAAAGATTTCTACCGTTACCGAAACAACAATAAAGACATTGTGCCGGCTGTACGACTGCATCCCTGGCTCAGTAACAATGTTATTGTCAATCGAGACGACCAGTGGAAACGGGTCCGATCAGTCATATCGCAGACATTTTCAACCGGCAAACTCAAGACTATATTCCCAGTGATGAACAAGTCTATCAACAACATTATCAATGAATGTCTGGGCAGTCTGTTGGACAGCAACGGCGATGGACAGGTAGATATGGAACGGTTGGGTAATGTCATATCGATTCGGGTGACTATGAGCTGTATCTACGGAGTTAAGTTGGACATTGCCGACAATGAACTGGTTAAACACTGTGACAACATGTTTGTTTATGATGAGCTCAAATTGTTTATTTATAATATGCTACCTGAATGGATGCATCGGGCGTTTGGTATGGTGCACCCGGTTGAATGGTCTAACAGATACTTTATCCATATAATTGACAAAACAATTCAAATGCTAATTAACAACAATAATAACGATACTAATTGTGTAATGAATTGGTTGATTAAATCGCTGAAGACAAATGGTAAGTAAAATAATTAATATTAATTAATCTATTAATTGTCATAATTATATTGTTTTTTGTGTGGTTGTATAGAAAACTCAGATATAAAATACCAGCACTTGGAGTTTAATGAACTGCTGCCCAACGGTTGGCTACTGATTGTCGCCGGTTTCAATGCAACGGCCACTACACTGATGTACACAATGTATGAGTTAGCCATCAATCCAAACATACAGAAGCGTCTATACGAGGAGATAGTGGCAAAAACCGGTGACGATGTGGACGGTAAGCTTAGTTATGAGATGTTATTGGATATGCCATATCTGGAGGCTGTTATCAAAGAAACACTGCGAGTGTATCCACCCATCTTCGAGAACGGCCGCGAAGTGTCCATAGATTCAACAATAGGCGACACCGGGATTGTCATGAAAAAGGGTACATACATCAGGTTTAATACCTATGCTGTACACCATTGCGCCGACTATTTCCCGGAGCCCGAAAAGTTTCTTCCGGAACGATTTCTACCTGAAAACAGGGATCACATCATACCGTACACATACCTGCCCTTTAGTGACGGTCCGCGCAAATGTGTGGCCAATCTGTTTGTATATATGGAAATCAAACTGGTTTTGATCAACATTTTAAAACGCTATGAGCTCTACCAGTGTCCCAAAACTGACGTTCCCATCCGGTATATCAAACACAGCAAAGTACTGGCACCGGAACGGGTAGTATTGGGTGTTAAACATAGATATTGAATAGTTTAAAGAATTTTATTCATAAAATTAAATTATTTTATAAATTATTACTTATTTTTTAATTAAGTGCACTTATTTTACTAAATACTTAATATCATAATTATTATAAACAAAATATTTTCTGATTATTTTTGTATACTGCAATATTATCTAATTAATTGTTTATATGTTACAATAACATTTTTTATAAATTTTAAAATTTTAAAATTTTGTGATGCCAATAATTTTGTATGCCTACATATCTATAACTTAATAAAATTTTACATTTATATACAGTATTTATATACTATATTAAATACATTGTAATTATATGCAATTAATCATAATGTATTTAATATGTCTTATAATATTTATACTATTTATAGATTAGATAGATATTAATAAATTTTAAGTTAAACATTCGTAGTAATAAAAATATTACTATTTTATTTAAAATATATCATACATTTTTATGTCTTTATAATTTTTTGATTACTATATTAACAATATGAATCATAAATATTAATGTGAAACATTTTATGTGTATATAATTTCGGTAAACTAAAAATATTAAATAAAAAATAATGTAATTATTTTCTATAATTATTTACTATACAAATAATATAATAATAGTATATTATAAAATAAAAATTATAAATTTTTAAAAAATAGATATATTATTTTTTTTATTCAACATTAATTTTTATTAGATTTATTATAATAATTAAAGATTAAAAATATTGTCAAATAATTAGTTAAATTATTGTTATTAATAATAATAATTTATAACTATTAGGATATAAATAATTATAATACATATTTCTTATATATTAATACAATATATTAAATAAATAACATATAAAAATATGTATTTAAAATGAATAACATTTTTAAATGAATATATTTTATATAATATATTTGAAAAATTAATTTAATAAATTGATTTAAAAGTTTTCTAAAATCACTATAAATTTATTTTTAGTAATTTATGTTATTTTTCATGAAAATTTTTTATAATAATATCTATATTATACAAGAATAATAAAAAATAAATTCTTATTATTTGAAAATGTTTAAAGTGTTAATTTAAAATATTGTTAACTATGAAAATAAGACATTTGGTTTGACAAAATATTAATAAAATATTTTTTAACTTAACTAATTTATAATTTATCATTATCTAAATAACTAAATTAAAATATATTGCCTATAATTAATTGTTATTAATTTAATGTACAGTTGTTTATCTATATATTAAAAACGTTTATTAAATGAAACGATAGGATTCTGTTTGGGAGAAATTGCAAAATAAATATCAAAATCAAGTGTTGTGTTAGTGTTTTTGATGGCTTTGATGTCATATCTCTGAACCAATGATGCAATATATAGGAATACTTCTGCCGTTCCCATTGCCTCTCCCGGACACGACCTCTTGCCTATTGATTAAATAAAATATAATATTATATAATATTATTTGTTTTGTAAGACATACCATAGGAAAATGGTATGAAGTGTTCGGGTTTGAAGAAAACAGTTTCGTTGTCTTTGAGAAACCTTTCGGGTCTAAACACCTGAGGATTGTCCCATAGTTTTGGATCGTTATCTATGGCCCACAAATTAATGAATATTTGTGTGCCTTTTGCTATTTGATGTCCACATATTACAGTGTCTTCACTTGTACTATAAATGTTTGAAAACAATTTATTTAATTTAAAATTAATTAATTAATATATTTTTAAAAATAATCAATGTAAAATAATAAACTAGACATACGCCCTGGGCAAATTTATCGTAACAATTGATCTGAATCTCATTATCTCGTGAATGAATGCCTGAAGATATGGCATTTGATTTCTGTGTGCATACTGTGGTGTCTTATCTCTTCCGATAATATCATCGATTTCTGTACGAAGTTTTGTTTGTATGTCGGGATATGTGGCCAACACTACAAGTGCCCACTCAAGCAATGATGTCGTAGTACCGGTTCCCGCACCAAACAAGTTAAAAATATTACCAAGCAACATTTTTTCTATTATTAATTATAAATATAATATTTAATATAAAAAACTTTTTTAAATCTAATATTTACTATTAAATGAAGTCTTAGGATTTGCTTTTTTTAGTTCAGTTAGAAAGGCGTCGATATAATCGCGAAAGTCATTTGAATCCAATGTTTTCTCATGTGATTCAAATTCATTGCTATTTAAATAAAATATTTATTAATAAATTTAAATACAAATAAATAACTTATAGATATAATACTTAAAATATTCATTCAGTGATTCAATTGTATCTTTAGTTTCTCTAAAACTTTTTGTGGATAAATATTGAAGATTATTGATTATATATTTGCCAAACACTGGAAACTGTGCCATAAATCCTGTTAACGAAAAGCTTGGGTCAGGTTTGACCATTTCATCGATTATTTTCTTTCGTTTGTCATTATAATCGAGTCGTCGGCCGAACAGAAAAGAACTGATATTATTGCTGACACTAATACCCAACACATCGCGAACATTGATATCAGTTCCCAACGATTTGTCAATTAATTCTTCGCACAAATGGTTGATCTCATCGATGATATGCTCTTCCATTGATGTCTTACCGAATCCCAAATCTCTCAACTGGTGTAATGCAAACCTTCGCTGATCTTTCCATTGCTGTCCACTTATTGATATAAAATCTAATTATAATTTAAAACATTTTGAATTATAAAAATTATTCAATAAAATTATTTACAATTTAATTAACATACTTTCATCTGCAAATACATTGAATATATTATCTTTATGTCGGGCCAGTACTGAGTCTTGAGATAAAGCATCCTTAATTGATGGCCAGTCGTTCAAAACTACTGTTGGTGATGATCCCAATTGTAGACTTTTTAATAAATAATTTTATTAACAAAAATGTTTAATTAAAATATGAAGAAAAATTAAATACCCAAAAATAGGTCCGTATTTTTTAGACCAATTGACTAATGTTTTCGATGTAATACCAGTAAATACACCTAAATTGCCAATTAATGGTAAACTCAAGGGACCGGGAGGTAACTTATTTAACACTTTATAATGATTATATATTTTACTAATCAAAACATATAAAAATATTAAAGTAAGTATTATTAATGAATATGAAAAAATCCAGTTTATTATTGATACTAAAAACATTTTCAAAATAATAAGCTTTAATATATTAAATAATAATAATAATGTCTATTTATAGTATTTGTAATCTATAAAATATTAAAATTTATAAAAATTTGATTCATAATACTCTATTTATATAATATTTCAAACAAATTAATTAATTTATAATTAATCATTGTTTTTAAATTTGTTGCTATTTTGTTATTTTAAATTATTTTTATTAGTTTTTTAAAGTTTTTGTCAGGATATAAAAATGATATTTATAGATCTGACTTAATTTTCACATAAATATCAAATCAAATACATAAATACATACATAATAAAATACATCAAATACATAATAAAAATCAAATACAAAAAATGATAAATTTTAATATAAGAATCAATATTTTCCGATAACAGGAAAAGAGTTATATAAGTTTTTAGATAAAACTATAACTTATCGTAATTTTTATACAACTAAAAATATTTTTTAAATTTTATACTATACTAATGCAATAAAAATATATCTAACTTATATGAAAATTATGCTGTATTAATAACTCTATAATACTTATTAATATTTTTGTTAGATCTTAAATAAATGTCTTTATTAAAAAAATTGTTTTTAAGAGACAATAAATCCAAAAATGATTCTTAAAATAATACTATTTATCACAAATATTTCTAATCCTGACAACAACTTTTACTAAAAATTATCTATTAGTACATCAAGTATTGTATATCAGTTTAAAATATTATCAAAATTAACACATTATTAAATTTAATATTTTAATTTAAAAAAATAAATATATTTATATTTATATTTCTTAGGACAAGTAGATTATAAGTATTTGTATTATATATTGTAAATTTATTTGAGTGATAAATATAATTTTATGATAACATTGATTATAATTTTATCATATAGTTTGAAGCATACAGTCTAACCCATCGTCTTACAATATAATTATTATTTAATAATAATATAATTAATAATAAAAATAAATATTACTGTAATTTAATAACTAAACAAAATTACATAAACTATTTAATATAGAAATAATTATGCATACTATTATTTTTTGTTTGCTATAATGTTTTTAATAACTACTAAGATTATAACTTCAAAGTTAATGAATAAAACTACTGTAAATAATTAAATATTATAGTATTGTAATGAGTAGATTTTATCATTACTGTTATAACTATAATATATCCTATTCCTATACCGTTTCAATATTATTTTAATAGCATTGCCATTTATATCTGGAAAGTGTTGATTATTTAGATGTTTCATGAGAATTTTTGGGGTGAGTTACTCGCTTCACTTTCCATGCAATGATTTCACGTAAACCACTGGAATGGCCGCCACTATTGGCACAGTACTCCTGTAGTGGTTTAGGCTGTCTTAATTGTACATTGGGCACAATATTAGCTTTTACTACACAATTATTAATACAATCTATGTCTGATTGATCGTAAATTAAGACATTACTACTTTGCGGACCAATTATATAAAAGGTATTATCTCTGGTCCTGAGATTATTTAATTCAATTTGACATTTACTATCAAACGAAACACTATTCAATGTTAAGACAGACTCATTGTTTTGAGAGTTAAGACTCGAAGTCTGTACCACTCGGGTCTGGTCAGAAGCTCTGAGACCAGTAAAAACTATTTTACTAGTTTGGTCACTCACTACACGTGACACAACTATAGTATACTGAAGACAAGACGATACAGTGTTATCAGCATCCATACAATGGCTGGCTAGCCGCAACACTTGCGCTAAAAACAAACAAAAACCGACATTACTCAATGACAACAAATGTCTTGTCGCAATTATAAACTGGTAACTAAAACATAACGATTGACTAACTGGTCGGGCCCTACCAATAATTGCCAACGAGAGAAGCCTCAAAGCCTCCCTCTAACCAAAACATGCAACTCAATACCCAATCTACTAGTAAGACTGAGTCTAATGGTCAGTACCATCACTCGGTACTACCGTCGGTAAAACCGGCGTATAGTCTATTTAAATACCCACTATAGGATAAGTAATGCTATACCCGTTGACCAACCCTGTGGCCAAACTATAAATCAGAGTTTTCTGACTCTGATGACATAACCATGAGACCGTCACAAGCAATCTCAGGGGAATCTAACCCATCTATGTCTCTCCAGCCGTGCCTACCCGGCACTAAATAAAGGCGTTTAAACACTAGTTAAACCCTACCCGACACTCGTCGGTGAAGTGTGATACCACCCGAAACCTGTGTTACGGCGGCTATCACTGGACTACTAATCTTTACTGTATATCAATTCAACAATAGACAAAACAAAATCACACTCAACTAACATACATAGACAAGGTCTATATTAGACAAGATTGTATGTGTGGTGGCGGCAATGACAAGGCGCTCATCAACTACAGCAAACGGTGTCGCGTACACAACCGCAGCCGCGACCGTCAACGAATGTGTTGTCGGAGAGTCACCGATCACATAAATTAACATAAATCTATACAAACAAATCATACACTCAGGTACAATAAAGACAATACATGACCGACAGATTGCCGACAGTATTACATAATTATCGTAACATTTCTATTATCTCACATACGGTATTCAGTTAATATCTGGTCAGACATAACTATGTCGTCTCTGGGGTCAATTGACATCACCGATAGGTTTTTGGCCGTGATATTGTAAGAACAGTGCATATGTAACAACAATAAACTATTAGGTGTCCAAATATTTATTTATACCGGGTCAGTCAATCCCGAAGGTGACTATAGACTCATAAAGTTAAGGCAAACCTTAACTATAATCTCGGATCACTATTGAGGAGCGTATGTTAACGGTCTTAAACTCAGTGTCCGTTATCGTCTATTAACACACAATCACGCGATCGGATGACCGGAACCCTCTTGGGACCGTTGGCCAACCCAGTCAGTCGGTATCAGATAGTAACTATGCTTTTCCCAACTAAGTTAGCGAAAGCACATAAGTACTCGAGTAACCACTGCTATGCATTCACACACACATTCACTCAAACAGCCGATAATTACAACAATCAACAAAACTAGTGCTATTGTCACGTAGACAGCAACTAGTGGATCATCTAGTAAATTGTATTTTAAGGTCAGACTATTAGTGTTAAATAACACTGAGAACCGACAAAACTACAACTGTTTCACTAAAACGTAGGACTATTGCCGAAAAATCTGGCAGAGCCTTCGGCGGCCTGGTACAATCTCGGGGATGTCGGAGACTTCCATATGACACATATAGTAGTCTATACCAACAATAACTAAGTATAGGTCAAAGGAGGTAAGGGAGGAGGACAGCGTAGCCGTACAGATCTCTCGACACGACAGATCAGTTAGCATACTATCAAAGGGAAGGGTATAACGGCATGACCGTACGAATCCCCCGACACGGCGGATCCGATGGCCAACCATCATAGGGTATGGTTAGGTAAGGTTACATAACTGGACCGGAACCCCCGACACGGCGGTTCCGTCCATTAGCTATATACGCGGGAAGGCTTGACAACATAACCGACCAGACCCCCCGACACGGCGGACCCGACGGCCTGTCATCTTACCTTAAGACTGTAGACAAGAAGGGACCTTTTCGATACTGGAGCTCCCGACCCGGGAACCCACGGATTTAGGTCGCTTAGAAAAAGTAGGAGACAATAAAAGGTAAAAACTTACATTAAATCCAAAAGGTTTTTATTGAAAAGACATCAAAGTGGTATACATCCAAGTATACGGACCATCAATGAGAAGGGGGTCGAACCAGAAGGGGAGAGAACTGATCTGCTAACGGCTCTTAGCAGTACTAGTCTATGCCAATTGACTACCAGTATCTCAATGATAAAATCATTGAGAATACACGGGGTTTTATAGTAACGGTTGCGTCAATATAATTTTTCAAGGGAGTATGGGAATATTTAGGTGATGTGTTTAGTGCGAAAACTGTTTCAATATAGCACTATTTATGCTATGTTATGTAATGACATATATATAAAATTGGTAATTCTGGCACTGAATAGGGAAAATTTTATATAGATTTATACTACAGTTGGGGAGAAAAGTTGGATTTTTCGTTATACTAAAATGTTATATGTAGTATATTTGTGTGCAATTTTAATGTGCATCAAAAAAATTTTCTTTATTAGTAATTTTTTATATATATTTATAAAGGGTATTATATAATAGATTTTATATTGACAGTATTAATAACTTTTTAAATAAATGCATTTTTACTAATCAAATAAAAAGTAATTCAATAAATAATGATATTAATTTTATGTTTATAAAATAAAAATATATCAAAATATTAAATTTAATAAATAGTGTTAATTTTGATTAGATAATACTGTAAACTGATATACTTAATGTACTAATAAATGATTATAACTAAAAATAAAGGATTAGAAATATTGTAATAAATAGTATTATATTGTATGAATCAAAAATTTCTATGGAAACAAAACATAAATTACTAAAATTAAATCTATTTTTCAAATATTTTTTATAAAATAAGTAATTTAAAAATGTTATTCTTATTATTGTTACATAAATTTTAAATATTATAGATATTTTTTAAATATAGTGTTTTTTACAAAAATTAGACATATATTTTTAAAGAGTCTATCAATGGTTTAAGAACAATAATTATAATTTAATAAATTTTCAAATGATTATTTAAATTTAATCAAAATTTAATTTATACGAAAAATCAAACAAAGCTATAATATACTTTTTTATTTAATTATTTAAATTATTAATCAAAATAATTATTTAGTAACAGTTTATTTGTGCATGTTAAAATTTTTTATAATATATAATAAGCTAATTGACACAATTTTTGTCAAAAATTATCATTTTATAGTAGTAGGACACATAGGATATAAAATATTTATAGGAAATAATTTAATATGTATCTCATTAAGCTATACATAAATTTGTAAAAAATAAAGAAAAATTAATTACCAATATAATATTAATAAATATTATAAAATTTAAATAATTAATTTAAAAAAATATTTGTTTAATTTTTTTTTAAAAATAATTTTATTAAACTTCAACTTTTATTAGATTAATTAAAATAATTTTTCCAAAAGCCATCACATGTTTTGCTAAACAAATTGTCAAATATATGTGTATCTGTATTGGGATTTAAATCATAAATTTCGGGCACATATTTAGGATCTATAGTATCAACAAATTTTGACCAAACAGTCGATGGTTTGCTAATATATTTTTAAAAAACAATTACTCGAGTTAGTAACGTATATATTTTGTCAAGTATTCAATACCCATATTTAGCAAAATCAGTCCATAATTTCATTAAACGTTTACTGAATTTGACATCTATTTCAGTATCACTTTTCTCTGGTTTGAGCACTGGTAGGCCAAACACAAAATCAACATCAGCTCCATGAGTGACATTCGTCTCTTTGGGGTAACCAATAGAGTTTGACAAACGTTGATAAGTTATTTCATAGAAGTAGACATTATTATTGTCGCCATCGATATGTTGTGCATAGTTTTTGGCGAACATATATGTGGGACAAGTGATGCTTAGGTCACCAAAAACATCGTATAGACTCCACTCGATGTCATGCGATGAGGTTTTGTTGGCCAAATAAAACTCAGTTATTTCACTAACATTGAGATTATGATATGTATTATCAAAGGAACTCATAAATAAATTGAACTCTTTTTTTGTAATATTTTTTGGTAAAGTCAAGACACCGGGCAATAGTCCAGAGCCCTCATGTCGGGCAACACCAGCTATTATGTCGATATCTTTCAACATTAAATATATACAGTGAAATAATACCGTGAGATAAAAATATATTCAGTCCTTTTTTAATGCAAACCTTTATTGAAGTGTTTTGTTTGAAATGCATTTTGAGCAGTCATTGGCAGAAACTCGGTGTCAGTTAAAGGAAAAATAAAACCTGATTTACTGTATTTTATGAGTTCCCGGGCGTCAACTTTACGCAAACAGTCTAACCATTGACTAGTCGTACAATTAAGCTGTTTAGCCAATTCAACACTTTGTTGCAAAGTTTCGGTAGTATTCAATGGTTGTCGCAATTTGTTATACATATGGGCACCGCTTTCCATAATAGCTCTCTTGAATAGACCTCTAGATAGCGGTGATAATAAATGTGATGATACTGACCAACTACCAGCACTTTCACCAAATATTGTAATCTTATCTTTATCTCCGCCAAACATATGTATGTTTTCTCTGACCTATAAATGTATTTGTATCGAAATTTTAACTAATTAGCGACATTACAACTATTAAAATATCAATTACCCATTTAAGTGCTAATAACTGATCAAATAGTCCCATATTTCCCTGAGCTGACGACTCATGTCCTCCGTATATAAACCCAAATATATCTAACCGGTAGTTGACAGAGACAACCACCACATCATGTGCTGCCAGTGCACTGCCATTGTATACCCATTGAAAACTGGATCCAAGTTTTAAAGCTCCGCCGTGAATCCAAAACATAACCGGTTTTAAAACATTTGATTTGTTGTTGTTATTAGGTGTCCACACATTTAATACTAAACAGTCTTCGTTTAGTGTTATATTTCCCATAAAATGTTTCATTGTATCCATAACTATCTGCACACAAGAATTGCCTGTTTTTGTGCCATCGATTAACTTAAAATTAATTATAAAAAACACAATATATTATTTTGATTTACAAACTATTTTATATACTCTATTATAATTAATATAACCTGTTTTGGATGTTTCAATGGTTCGGGTTTAGCGAACCGAAGTCTCCCGAGTGGCGGTTCGGCGTACGGTATGTTCAGATACTGTGCGATACTTGTGTTGAGAACATGTATTTCGAGTCCTTTCACTACACCTGATGTTGTATTTACTGTCGGATCAATACATTCGTTAAAATGTATAAAACTATATAAAAACCATAAAAATAATTGTAATTTTACTAACATTTTAATTATTATAATTAATTATTATATTTAACTCTAATTAAACTCTTAATCATTTACAATAAATATAATTCATAATTTATATACTTTATATATACTGGAAATTAAGTGTATTTTGTAATAAATCTTTTTTTATAATCATTAATAAAGGTTAAATATTATTAATTAATGCCATATACAGTATTTTTATAATCTATCAACTTTATTGTAATTGTTTAGCCAATAATATAATTTTTTCAATTCAATCAATAGATAAGAATTTTAAAACTCTAAATATTAAATATCTAACATTTTATCAATTATAAGTACAATATTTATTTCTATATATTAAATATGTTATACAGGGTTGCCAAAGGGGAAGTAAGACGTCTTACTACCCCCCCCTGAGATCGAGAAATTTAGGCTTTTACCCCCACTGGCCTGAAATCAAAAAGTTAGGGGGCCCCCTACGAATTTTCGGCGCCGAATACGCTGAAAATTTTTTTCAAATATGTAAAATTTTGTATTAAACAAAAAAATAAATATTAAATTAGTTTTAATATAAATTAATAGCTTATGTATATAAAATAAATAGATAAAAATACTTAATTACATCAACTTAACATTATTTACACTAGTAGGGGCACTCCACAAGCTAAAAAATAATCCCACCAATTTTTAAAAAAATTAATGATAATATTTTATTTTATTTTTAGCTGTTTATAAAAGATAATGTATATTTTATTTCTTATTAAAAGTCGAAAACATAAATTTTTAGCATAAATTTTAAAATAATTATATTTTAATTTTTAAACTTTATATTAAAATTTGTTAGTTATGGTTCAATATGAAATACTATGTAAAAAATATTCTTAAATTAATTATTTAGTTATTTAATAATTATTTCTGACAATATTATTATTAAGACGTTGTAATAAATACAGTACTATATCTTTAATTTTTTAATCAATTTTTTAAAATTAAATAATTGTATTTTTAATTAATTATCATAATTATAGAGTTATATATATTTATGCAATTCTTAATATTATATTTAGAAAACATTTTGAGTATTGAGAAATTAAGTTGAATATATTTTTATTAGTTAATTTATTGGGAATTTAGTTGGAATTTATTGGGAATTTAATGGGAATTTAGTGGGAATTTAGTGGGAATTTAGTGGGAATTTAGTGGGAATTTACTCAAATTTGGCAAAAATTGTCGTTTAAAAATGCAATAAAAAATGTTCACCCCTATAACCCCCAAGCTTTTTCGAAAATTTTGCCATTTTACCCCCCCCCCTGAAGTCGAAAACCTTTAGCAACCCTGATGTTATACTTGTTATATAATAACATTTGACATTTAAGCTCAATATAGTTTTTAAAAAAGTAAAATTGTATCTAAAAAATATTTTAATTAGTTTGTTTAATTAATAACTAATTTTATTACAAATAATTAATCAATTTGCAATTAATCAATAGTAATTTTATAAATAAAATTTAATAAATATCTAAAATAATAATGATATACAATACTTAAGAAAAAATATAATTGAAAATAATTATACAATTTTATAAAAGAAAATATATAAAAATAATATAACAATACTTTTTTAAAATAAATTTTATGAATTATTTTTACTTAAAAATATAATTATTGATTTTAATATATATATATTTAATATGCAGTACTTTTTTGTTTTTTAAGTTATTTAACAAATAAAACATAAATATTGATAGAATTGTAACAGTTTTTCACTGAATCAGTAGTTATATTAATATATGTTATTAATTATGTTAATAATACATGTATTACTGTTCAATATATAAAAATTGTCAGTAAATTAACTAAATTTTATTCAATTAATTAATCAAAAATAATGATTATAACAATTAATTATAAATAAAAATTGCAAAAAAATATACTTTGTATAACCCGTCGTATGATCGTTGCATATAACACGTTATATAAAAGTGCATAACTTATATAACGACTGACCGATTATTCAAATGGATTAGCTGTATATTATTTAATTTTATAATTATATTTTGTAATAAAATTTTTAAATGATTATTTAAATGAGTAAGCAAAAAAAAGTAAATAGTTACAGTTTATTTGTGCATATTAAAATCTTATATAATATATAATAAGCTACGTGACATAATTTTTGTTAAAAATTATCATTTTATAGTAGTAGGACTGTATAAATATCATTAAGCTATATAAAATTTAAAAATAATAATGAAATTATTTATCAATATTATATTAATAAATATTATAAAATTTAAATAATTTATCTTAAAAAATGTTTCTTTAATTTAAAAAAAAATAATTTTATTAAACTTCAACTTTTATTAGATTAATTAAAATAATTTTTCCAAATACCATCACATGTTTTGCTAAACAAATTGTCAAATATATGTGTATCTGTATTGGGATTTAAATCATAAATTTCGGGCACATATTTAGGATCTATAGTATCAACCAATTTTGACCAAATAGTTGATGGTTTGCTGATATATTTAAACAAAAATAAATTACTAGAGTTAGTAAAGCATATATTATATACAGTATAAGTATTCAATACCCATATTTAGCAAAATCAGTCCATAATTTCATTAAACGTTTACTGAATTTGACATCTATTTCAGTATCACTTTTCTCTGGTTTAAGCACTGGTAGGCCAAACACAAAATCAAGATCAGCTCCATGAGTGACATTCGTCTCTTTGGGGTTACCAATAGAGTTTGCCAAACGTTGATAATTTATTTCATAGAAATAGACATTATTATTATTTTTTGAATCGATATTATGATTTGCATAGTTTTTTGCAAACAAATATGTGGGACACGTGAAGCTTATGTCACCAAAAACATCGTATAGACTCCACTCGATGTCATGCGATCCATTTTTGTTGGCCAAATAATAGTCAGTTATTTCACTCACATTGAGATTATGATATGTATTATCAATGAAATTCATAAATAAATTGATCTCTTTTTTGGTAATATTTTTTGGTAAAGTGACACCGGCTAATAGTCCAGAGCCCTCATGTCGGGCAACACCAGCTATTATGTCGATATCTTTCAACATTAAAAAAATATAAATACCATGAGATATATATACAGTCTTTATATAATTTAATGCAAACCTTTATTAAAGTTTCTTGTTTGAAATGCTTTTTGAGCAGTCATTGGCAGAAACTCGGTGTCAGTTAAAGGAAAAATAAAACCTGATTTACTGTATTTTATGAGTTCCCGGGCGTCAACTTTACGCAAACAGTCTAACCATTGACTAGTCGTACAATTAAGCTGTTTAGCAAATTAAACACTTTGTTGCAAAGTTTCAGTAGTATTCAATGGTTGTCTCAATTTGTTATACATATGGGCACCGCTTTGCATAATAGCTCTCTTGAATAAACCTCTAGATAGCGGTGATAACAAATGTGATGATACCGCCCAACTACCGGCACTTTCACCAAATATTGTAACCTTATCTTTATCTCCACCAAACATATGTATGTTTTCTCTAACCTATAAATGTATTTGTATCGAAATTTTAATTAATTTATGAAATTAAAACAATTAAAATATCAATTACCCATTTAAGTGCTAATAACTGATCAAATAGTCCCATATTTCCCTGAGCTGACGACTCGTTTCCTCCGTATATAAACCCAAACACATCCACCCTATAGTTAACAGAGACAACCACCACATCATGTGCTGCCAGTGCACTGCCATTGTATACCCATTGAAAACTGGATCCAAGTTTGAAAGCTCCGCCGTAAATCCAAAACATAACCGGTTTTAATACATTTGATATATTAGGTGTCCACACGTTTAACACCAAGCAGTCCTCGTTTAGTGTTATATTTCCCATAAAATGTTTCATTGTATCCATAACTGTCTGAATACAAGAATTGCCTGTTTTTGTGCCATCGATTAACTTAAAATTAATTATAAAAAACACGATATATTATTTTGAATTACAAACTATTTTATATACTCTATTATAATTAATATAACCTGTTTTGGATGTTTCAATGGTTCGGGTTTAGAGAACCGGAGTCTCCCGAGTGGCGGTTCGGCGTACGGTATGTTCAGATATTGTGCGATACTTGTGTTGAGAACATGTATTTCGAGTCCTTTCACAATACCTGATGTGGTATTTACTGTCGGATCAATACATTCGTTAAAATGTATAAAACTATATAAAAACCATAAAAATAATTGTAATTTTACTAACATTTTAATTATTATAATAATTAATTATAAACTCTAATTAAACTGTTAGTTATCTAAAATAAATATAAGTCATATAATTTATATACTTTATATACATTGAAAATTAAGTGTATTTTATAATAAATCTTTTTTTAATAATCATTCATAAAAGCTAAATATTATTAATTATTTTAATTCTATATTTTCTTTTTATAGTCTATCAACTATATTGTAATTGTTTAGCCAATAATATTATTTTTTCAATTCAATCAATAGATAAGAATTTTAAAACTCTTAATATTAAATACTAAACATTTTATCATTTTATAAGTACAATATTTATTGCTATATAATTAATAGGTTATACCTTAGACTCTCTTTAATGCTATCATTGATAGATTTTTGAATTTAACTTTATTACGTATTTTATGCTAATGGTAATAATATACCTTACTCATTTACAACTAGTACTATCAAAATTATTTTTTTGTCAATATAGTTAATCTTAGGGGCTGTTCACATATTACGTTCGCACTTTTTAAGAAATCTAGACCCTCTGCTCCATATTAGCAATTGTTTGTTCATTCCTAGTCATTTAAAAAACACTTTGCATGTCAATAACCGCTACCCCCCCCCCACAACAAGAAATATAATATTATCTAAATGCGAACGTTCTTAAAGTCTCTACCCCTCCCCTTCCCTTGTTCGCAAAAGTTTGCTTTGGCCAACCCCCCTCAATTTCAAACGTAGTATGTGAACCACCCCTTATAAGTTGTATGTTTAACTTAAACTTAACTATAACTATTTCTTTAAAATCCGTAATAAATTTTGTTATGTTATATTTGTTTTATTTATTTAATTTTAATATTTTTTGTATAATTAACGTTGTAGGGACCGATTAATAATACATATACCTATGAGAGAATCTAAGAGTTATACTAATTATTAAGCTTAGTATAAAAAGGGGGCAATAATGCGCTGTTATTATAATAATATAAACTATCACGTGATGCATAATTAATAATAATTATTACATGTTTTATTTTTTTTGTTGATTAATTTATTGATAAAACTATTTTCAATTCAATTTTCAATGTCTTTTATTATTGAAATGTTTGGACAGTAATGCAATAGACTTAGAAAGTACTCAAATTAGTTGAGTTGACACTCGATTTGGTCGAACGTAACTATAAGTACACGGTTTGTGTCCAACGGTTTTAAAATGCTTTCATTATTTTTAATTTATAAAATTTATAAAACCTTATTAACTGCATATTTGATAATTTTAATTTAATACAACACGCGATACATTGTTTTTTTACTAAACTTACTAATTATATAATAACATTTGACATTTAAGCACTATATTGTTCTTTTAAAAAATAAAATTGCATCTAAAAAATATTTTAATTAAAATGAAAATACAAATTTTATTCTAGCTAATATATTATTAAAAGCTTTATTTATTATTTTTTTTACTTACTATTGTGATAAAAATTTTAAAAAAATAATCATATTTTAAATTTTTATTTCAATAATTTTTTGTAAATTAAATAGATAATTAATAAATTGTTTAATTAAGTTTTATTTTATCAGAGTATTATAAATTTATAGATTATGTTTGTATTATATTAATATATAAGTTTGTATTAAATAATTAATTTTATTACAAAAAATTAATCAATTTTCAATTAAACTATAGTAATTTTATAAATAAAATTTAATAAATATCTAAATTAATAACGATATTATTTATAATACCAAAAAATATAATTAATAATAAATGATAATAATATAATATTTCAAAAAATAATTAATTTTTTATAGATTATATGGTATACAACAGTAATTATAATTAATTATAATAATTTTTCCAAAAGCCATCACATGTTTTGCTAAACAAATTGTTAAATATATGTTTATCTGTATTGGGATTTAAGTCATAGATTTCGGGCACATATTTAGGATCTCTAGTATCAACCAATTTTGGCCAAACAGTAGATGGTTTGCTAATATATTTAAACAAAAATAAATAAGTTATTATCCATATATTAATTATATACAGTAATTCCTATAATTTATAAAATATATTCAATACCCATATTTAGCAAAATCAGTCCATAATTTCATTAAAAGTTTACTGAATTTGACATCTACTTCAGTATCACTTATTTCTGGTTTGAGCACTGGTAGGCCAAACACAAAATCAAGTTCAGCTGTATGGGTCACATCCATCTCTTTGATAAAACCTATTGCAGTTGTCAAACGTTGATAAGTGATTTCATAGAAGTAGACATTATTATTGTCGGCATCGGTATGTTGTGCATAATTTTTAGCAAACAAATAGGTGGGACACGTCATAATTAGATCACCATAAAGATCATACACAGCCCACTCAATATCATGTGATGAGGTTTTGTTGGCCAAATAAAACTCAGTTATTTCACTGGCATTAAGATTATGTGATGTCTTATCAAAATAATCTACTAATACCATGAAATCTTTTTTGCTAATATTGTGTGGCACTAGACCTCCTCCATACAAGAACCCGGACCCCTCGTGTCTGGCGATACCAGCTATTATGTCGACATCTTTTAAAAGAAAAATAATAAATATCGTATTATATATAGTATTTCTTTATAATTTAAATTATATTCAAAACCTTTATTGAAATTATTAGTTTTAAATGCTTTTTGTGCATCCATTGGCAAAAACTCAGTATCAGTTAAAGGGTAAACTGGAAAATCTGTTTTATATTGTATGAGTTCCTGGGCGTCAACTTTACGCAAACAGTCCAACCATTGACTGGTCGTACAATTAAACTGTTTGGCCAATTCAACACTTAGTTGCATAGCTTCGGTAGTATTTAATGGTTGTCGTAGTTTATTATAAAAATGTCCACCACTTTCCATAATAGCTCTCTTGAATAGACCTTTAGATAGCGGTGATATCAAATGTGTTGATACAAACATACTGCCGGCACTTTCACCAAATATTGTAACCTTTTCTTTATCTCCGCCAAACAAATGTATGTTTTCTCTGACCTATAAATGTATTTGTATCGAAATTTTAATTAATTTATGAAATTAAAACAATTAAAATATCAATTACCCATTTAAGTGCTAATAACTGATCAAATAGTCCCATATTTCCCTGAGCTGACGACTCGTTTCCTCCATATATAAACCCAAACACATCCACCCTATAGTTAACAGAGACAACCACCACATCATGTGCTGCCAGTGCACTGCCATTGTATACCCATTGAAAACTGGATCCAATTTTAAGACCTCCGCCGTGAATCCAAAACATAACCGGTTTTAAAACATCTGATTTTTCGTTACCATTAGGTGTCCACACATTTAATACTAAACAGTCTTCGTTTTGCGTTATATTTCCAATAAAACGTTTCATTAGAACAGGAATTGATTGAACACAAGAGTTGCCTTTTTTTGTGCCATCGATTAACTTATAATTATATAAAAGAAATTATATTATTATTAACTTATTGTAAACTATTTTATAATAATGTATTTCAATAAATTTAATCAATGTATACCTGTTTTGGATGTTTCAATGGTTCGGGTTTAGCAAACCGGAGTCTCCCGAGTGGCGGTTCGGCGTACGGTATGTTCAGGTATTGTGCAATACTTTCATTGAGCACATGTACTGACTGACCCTTTACGGGCCCTGAAGTCGTATTGACAATTAATTCATTACAATTGATGTATTGTATTAATAAATAACTAAAATTAATTATTAAAAATAGTTTTTGAAACATTTTATTTTATTTTTAAATAGACAATAACATTAATTTTACTTATAAAATAAATAATTTATATATTAAATTTATTAATTATAAAAATACACAAATTGTGATCTTTAAATAGGTTTTTTGAAAATTAAAATTTTATATACCGTATCTATTCCTTTGATTTGTTAAAACGTTTAATTTTTATTAATTAAGATAAAATAATTATACTAGTGCAATTTTAGTACTCTATTAAGCAATATATTATTATTTATAATAATTGTGAAATTATTAAAACAATAGATTTTTTATTATATTTATACAATACTTAATATTTCTAATAGTCATTCAGTACTTATCAATTACATTTGTTTTTTTTCACCAAATACTGTATTTTATTTTATATAAATTTTTATATATTTTAACAAATGTATTGATTTGATGAAAGTATTCAACAAACATGTCCTTATAATAGTTGATAAGTACTAATGATTATATCTATAAATATCAACTATTGTATAAATATAATATAAAATTAATTGTTAATTAAATTAAATTTATTAATAATATCAAAATTATTATAAATAATAATATATTTAATATATCTTTATAAAGTACTAAAATTGCACTATTAAATTATTTTTTATTAAATGATAGAAATTAAGTTTGTTTTGTAATAAAACTGAATACTATTATTAAAAATAAAGTATTAGCTATTATTTGTCTAAAAAAGACATTTTTACTATAATAGTATATATTATAATAAATTGTTAATAATACAACTTGTATAACAAATATCAGTATTTTATTTAAATATTTGATGAATAAGATTTTTACAGTTTATAATATAATGAGAAATAATTTAAATGCATTTTTTAAAATAAAAATGAGAAAAAAAAATTATTTTAAATAATATTTTATTAATTTCTATATTTCATACTATAATTTACTTAATAATAGAATGAAAATTAAAATTGCATTATTTTAATCGCATATCATTTATTTCAAATTAAATAAAAAAAATTTATAGATTTATTAATCAAACATATTTACATTTTCAGATGATTAAATTTTTAAGTACATATACAGTAATACTATTATTTATAATATAAAACAATAATAACCAAAAATTATTATGTTGTTTGATATTGTAATATATTTATTTGAAAATAATATTGAAAAAGATGAAAATAATAATTATTGGTATTTTTGCATTAATTGAATTAAATAATTATGTAATTAATTGTGACTATACAGTAAAAATTGATTCACATAAAAACTGGGGTCAATGGGAAGGTTGGGGGACATCATTGGCCTGGTGGGCCAACGTTTTTGGGGACCGGGATGATTTGGCAGATATTTTGTTTACAACCAAACAGATGCAATATGATAATAAATCGATACCCGGTTTGGGCCTAAATATAGCTCGGTACAATGTAGGTGGGTGCTCGTGGAACACTATTGGCTCTAGCGATAAGATGAGTACCTCACCTAACATTCCCAAATACAAACAAATTGAGGGCTATTGGCTCAACTGGGACAGCGATGATCCACAGTCCCGAAGTTGGAACTGGACTGTCGATAGTAAACAGCGGTCGATGGTTAGGAAGGCGCTCGATAGGGACGTCAACCAGATCGAGATGTTCTCCAACAGTCCCATGTGGTGGATGTTATACGATCACAACCCGAGTGGTGCCACCGATGGGGGCGAAAACTTGCAGTCGTGGAACTATCGCAAGTTTGCTGTCTATTTAGCTACAGTGGCCAAGTATGCAGCCGATCACTGGAACGTTATGTTTACATCGGTCGAACCGTTTAACGAGGCAACCAGTGGCTGGTGGAAGTCGACCGGCAGTCAAGAGGGCTGTCATATTGGATCGGAAACACAGCAACAGGTTATCAGATATTTGCGCGAAGAGTTGGATAGTCGTGGACTTAGGCATATAGAAGTGGTGGCTTCGGACGAAAACACATACGACGGTGCAGTCAAACTTTGGCAAAGTTTTCCCATTGATGTGCGCCAATCGGTGGCCAGAGTTAACGTTCACGGATATCAATACGTGTCCGGTCGGAGAGATATGTTATATAGTTTGGTCAGCGATGACGGCGGCAAAAAAATATGGAACTCAGAGTACGGAGAAGCAGATCCATCGGGTGTGCCGTTAGCTCAGAATCTGTTGCTCGATATGTTTTGGTTACATCCGACCGCTTGGATATATTGGCAAACATTTGACGGATCAAATTGGGGTCTAATTGATGTAATTGCATCTAAAATACTAATTATAATAATATTGTAAAATTCAATAAAAAAATATTTTTATTTATTAGTCTAATTTGGGTGAAAAACAATTGGGACGTCTAAACCCTAAATACTATGTGTTGTCACAGTTTTGTCGACACATTAAGAAAGGGATGCAAATACTGGATACCAATCGCTGGGATACTGTAGCCGCTTATGACTCCGACAAAAAGCATTTGGTTATTGTTACGTTAAATTTGGATAAATCATTAGTAAATATTACATATGATTTGTCAACATTTGGTAATATAGCTAATGGGACAGTTAGCCGATGGACAACCGCACCGAATAATGAAAAAATACATTATGTATTTGATACTAATCTAAAAATTAGTTCAAAAGCCTTGACAGTTGCTTTAGATGCGATAAGTTTGCATACAATTGAAATAAATAATGTAAATGTATAATTATGTTATTTTATTAATATTAAAAAAATAACTAATATTTTTGTAATGAATATATTAATGAAATATTTATTATTATTACTTTTTAATTAATAATAGACTGTTAGTCCACATTGTAATTAAGTGTAAATTTTAAATTAAGTTTGTTTGTTTAATAGAAAATAATTACTGCTATTATTACCTAAATATAAAAAATTATTATTATAAATTGTAATTTACAATATAAATGTTAAATACGTTTGTATGTACGTAGTGTAAACAAGGTTATTGTCGGTGATAAACTTAAAAAATAATCATTAAATAAACTTTTATCAATTAATGAAATATTGATAAATAAATAATATTTTAATTAAACAAACAGATTTCTAAAATAAACTTTAATAAACTTGTTTTTATTTATCAAAATAACTTATGAAAAAATTTGTGTTCATTTTGATATACAGTAATTATTATTATTAAATATTATTATTAAATATTTTGAAAAATTAACTAAACTTAATGTATTAAACTTTTTAAAAAGATGAAAATATTTTTTTTTGTAATCAATGAAAATATTAAGATTTTTAATCAAAATAAACAAATAACTTACAGTACATGTGTTTAATTTACTTTTTGTTAATTTATTAATAGCATACTATTTATTATATATAAATAGAACATATTAAAATACATTTTTCAACTAATGTTAAGTTTATGTAAAAAATAACATTAATTTGTAAAATAATTTATAAGTTTATTAACTTTTAAAATATATTATTAAAATTAATAATATTTTTAAAAAATGTTTTTGATGCCAATAATAAGCTTGATTTTTACAAATTCATTAATTATACTAACGTTAATATTTCTAAGTGTTTTGTTAAAGAAAATTTATAGCGAATATAAAGTGCTAAAGAAATTACCTCCCGGTCCCTGGAATTTGCCACTAATTGGCAATTTGGGTGTCTTTACGGGTATATCAGCAAAAACATTATTCGATTGGTCTAAAAAATACGGACCTATTTTTGGGTAATTATTATTATTTTTTAATAAAAAAACGTACATATATTGATATTTGTCAACAATTTTTTTTTAAGTTTACAATTGGGTTCATCACCAACAGTAGTGCTGAACGACTGGCCATCCATTAAGGATGCCTTATCCTTATGCTTGTCCCGACCAAAGGAGAATGCATTTACTATATTTGGCGAAACAAGTATGGGTTAAATGATAAATTAAAATTTTTTTTCAATGTTTATTGATTCATAAAATTTTTATTAATAGGTTTTACAGGAAAGAGTGGACAGGACTGGAAAGATCAGCGAAAGTTTGCATTACATCAGTTGAGAGATCTGGGATTCGGTAAGACATCAATGGAAGAGCATATCATCGATGAGATCAACCATTTGTGTGAAGAATTAATTGACAAATTGTTGGGAACTGATATCAATGTTCGCGATTTGTTGGCCATTACTGTCTGCAATAATGTCAGCGCTTTTCTGTTCGGCCGACGACTAGAGTATAGCGACAAACGCAAGAAACTGATCGACGAGTTGGTCAAACCTAATCCAAATTTTATGATAACGGGTCCATTGGCACAGTTTCCTGCATTAACCAGATATTTGATCAATAATGTCAACTATTTATTGCCAAAACAATTTAATCGTTTCAAACAATTTAGCGATTCAATGGACGAGTTTTTTAAGTACTACTACTACTTAATGATATTATTATTTAAAAATTATTTACAATTATAATTTAATTTTTAAATTAATATTATTTTTTTATAAATAGCAATGAATTTGAATCACATGAAAAAACATTGGATTCAAACAACTTTCGCGATTATATCGATGCCTTTCTTAATGAACTAAACAAATCTAATCCTAAGACATCGTTTACAAGTATGTTATTTATTATGATATATAATATTAATTAAGAAATTATTACAATTATTTTATTATTATATTTGAATTGCTATAAAAATTATAATTACTAATAGGAAAGCAATTACTCGGTAATGTTGTCAATTTGTTTGGTGCGGGAACTTCAACAACGACAACAATTATGGAGTGGTCACTGGTTGTGTTGGCCACATATCCGGACATACAATCGAAAATTCGTTCAGAAATCGATAACATTATCGGCAGAGATAAGACACCACAATATGCGCACAGAAATCAAATGCCATATCTTCAGGCATTCATTAATGAAGTAATGAGATTCAGATCAATTGTTCCCATAAATTTACCCAGGATGTATGTTTAGTATTATTATTTTTTTTTAAATACTACAATATTTACTATTATTATTTGTGTTCAAACATTTATAGTACAAGTGAAGACACTGTGATCTGTGGACATAAAATAGCAAAAGGCACACAACTATTGACTAATTTGTGGGCCATAGATAACGATCCAAATCTATGGGACAATCCTCAAGTGTTTAGACCCGAAAGGTTTCTCAAAGACAACGGAACTGTTTTCTTCAAACCCGAACACTTCATACCATTTTCATTGGGTATTAACTTATTTCATAAATATTTTTAAAAGTTTTAAACTAAATAAAAATTTGTTAATCAATAGGCAAGAGGTCGTGTCCGGGAGAGGCAATGGGAACGGCAGAAGTATTCCTATATATTGCATCATTGGTTCAGAGATATGATATTAAAGCCACCAAAAACACTGACACAACACTTGAATATCTGTTGCAATTTGCAACCAATACTAAACGTGAACCCATCGTCTCATTTAACAAACGTGTCTAATATACTGTGTATAATAGTGACATAATTAATATTATATTTATTAAAAATTAATTAAATATTACTTGTTAAAGAAAATAACTACTATTATTTATACTAATAATAAATATTAATTTTTAAAAATTTTCTTATATTAATATTAATATGATGTCATACTATTTTTCATGACATTACGGTAATATAAAATTATAAAATAGCAAACAATTTTTTTCAATAATAACAGATTCTGTTTGTCATGATTTGAATTATTATTATTATATTTTGTTTGAAACTATATGTTTGAATTGTATTTAAGTATATTGTGTTGAATATACATGTATTTGATGTATTGGCTGAAAGAGATATCTTTGAGTAGCCAATGGGCAACAAAAATAGTTTTAAGATTTTATGACCCGACTGTCAACAGTGAGAAACTGTTGTGAGTTTATGGGCACCGATAGTACAGTTGGAGAGCACAGTCACTCTTGGATTGGCGACCAAACTGTATAGTTATATACCATTTGTATCAATAGATCACAAATCTATTGACTATTACTTTTCAATATATCCAACCAATAAACATATTTTATTAAAACCAAAATATACTTAATTATTAAGTGACTTCAATAAAGTACCTAGTTCACATAATAATATCCTGACAAATAATAAACGAAACCTAACATTTTGGTGTCACAACCGTGGGATTGAAGCACTTGGAGGACAAGTTGGTGGACATTGAGAAGAGAGAGAAAAAGCGAGACAAGCGATAACTGGACTGTCACTGCGGTATAACAATTGATTTTGAGGTTTGGTATCATTTTATTTGTGTCTGAGAGTCATATCAATGAATTGTTTGCGCGTTGATATCATTGTGGTTAACATAACTTTATAAATTTGGGAAAAGTATGGCAGATGAGGTAGATCCAAATGTAGGTAATGGGGTACCGGAAATAAATTTAACACAGATGAGCAATGCAATCGCATCAAATTTAGTTAGTTCACGTCAGCATCACATACCAGTATTCAATGGAACTAGAGATGAGGATCCTATTAGATTTTTGCGCACATTTGAGAGAGTCGCCCGTGCATTGACATGGAATGACAGTGCAATGATGGCAAAATTTCCCAACTATTTAGCTAATAGTGCTGAGGAATGGTATTATTTAAATGTTGATTGTGCTGTTGATGAGGCCGATCATGAGGATGATGACGATGACGAGTGTGTGAAACCCAATACATTTGTTGAACTAAAAGATTCATTTTTAAATCACTTTTTACGCGGTGATTATAAAGCATATTTAATGAGGGAATTATCTAAGAGAAAATATACAGGAACTGAAAGTATATTAAATTATATAACTAGTGTCAAAATTATATGCCATGATATAGATTCAGATATGAGTACTGAACAGAAATTGCAATACATATTGCAGGGAATGGACGATGAAACAGCCGCTCAGATAACATATTTTAGTCCTAAAACAGTTAAGGAATTAGAGAAGATTGCCCGGAATATAGAGCAGGGGAGGGAATTATTGCAAAAGTCTAGAACCGATACTAATAAAAATAAAAAAGTAAATGCTGTTCGAGTTGATAATCAAGAGAAAAAAGTTGATAATTCAAATGACAGTATGTTAAGTGCTATAAATAAATTAAATGAAACATTGAATGCTATGAGTGTAACTAAACAAAATAGTAATAACAATAGTTATGGTTATAATTACAGTAATAAAACTGTTGGTAATGAGAATAAATTTGATAGAAATAAAAATTATCATTTCAATAAAAATAAGTATAAAATGAATGGGCAAATGAATAGTCAGTACAACAATCAATATAATCGTAATAAAAATTTCAATTATAAATTTAATGGTAATTGTTTTCATTGTGGGAAAAAGGGACACAGAAAAACTGATTGTCGATCACTACAGCAAACAAATAGAGAGTCAAACAATGACAAACAAATTGAATCAATTAAAACTGATAATCAATTAGTTAATACAGTAAACAAAAATATTGTAAAGAAAACTAATAATTTAATCTCAATAAATGTTGAAATTAATGGTAAAATGTATAATGGGTTAATTGATTCTGGTAGTGAAGTGACTATTGTTAAAAAAGTTATATGCGATGAGCTAGGTCTCAAACCTATGCCTTATAAAGGTCCTAAAGTAACTGCTGTTACTGCTGATGAATTGAAACTTTTTGGTACAGTTGATATCAATATGATTATTAAGGGTATAACAACAAAAATATTCAATATTAATATGTCTGCACTTGTTGTTGATATATTGCCCGCCGATATATTGATAGGTATGGATCTCATGGAAAAATACGGTATAGATATAGACTGCAGAAATAAATTGGTTAAAATTAATGAGACTATAATAAGTACAGTAGTTTTGTCTATATTTGATTCAAATGACAAAATTATATGTCAAAGCGATTCAATGCAAAAATGTAGCAAAAATAACACTAAAAAAGTTTTAGATATTAATGATTCCGTAAAAACACTGATAAACAAAAATATTGAAATTGATACAGAAATTGATGGTAAAAATAAAACTGTACAGGGTAATGTACATGTTTGCTATAATGTTAATGTAAATCCAAATACTGTACAAATAATTGATTGCAAAGTAAGCAATAAAAATAACTTTTTAAATAAAAATGTTTTATTTTACACAAATGATACACAGTATGACAAACATAACATAGCTATTAGGAATGCTATTAGAGTTCTCAAATACCAAACACTCCCAATTCAAGTGTTAAATGCAACAAACAAAGTAATAAAACTAAATGAGGGATCAGTTATTGGATGCATTGAAACAGTGCCGGATAAACATATTATACCAATGTATGATACATTAGATGATAATATAAATGAAAAACATTTAGAAAACGAATATACTGTAAATGCCGCGAATATAAACTATACAGATAATAGCAAAAACAATATAAAAGAGTCGAAAATAGTTATATTTGAAAGAGAGGTCACATGTGGTACACACTTGAATGACGGACAAAAACAACAATTAGTTGAGATATTAGAAAGATATCCAGATTTACTAACTTTTGATGACAATAAAGTCGGAAAAATAAAAGATTTTGAATATACAATAAATATGAAACCAGATGTTAAACCAATTCATTGTGCACCGGCTAAGGTCACAGATGAACAGTTTAAACTAATTGAAACTGAAATAACAAAATTGAAAAATAAAGAGATAATACAGGATAGTCAGTCACCATATAGTAGTCGTATAGTATTAGTTATGAATAAAAACGGATCTCCCCGTATGTGTATCGACTATAGAGGTATAAATGAGTTGATAGAGTTTGATGCCTATCCCTTAGTTAATACAGATATTTGCATCAGATTTTTGGCTAATATGCGATATATTACCAAATTAGATGCCAATAATGCATTTCATCAAACAGTACTAAGCAAAGAGTCTCGAAAATACAGTGCATTTGTAACACCTAGTGGACAACTATATGAGTATACGAGAGTACCGTATGGATTGTCAATATCTACCGCTGCATTCAATAGGGCATTACATTTAGCTATTGGTAACTTGAAATTTATTGATTGTATTACTTTTGTTGATGACATTGGTATAGGAGGCAAAACATTTGCTGAGCACAACATTAGGTTAGAAAAGGTTTTAAATAAATTGTCTGAATATAACTTTACACTTAGAGCTGATAAATGTAATTTTGCTATGGATTCAGTCATATTTTTGGGCTATAAAATCAGTGAAATAGGTATACAATTAGCACCATCACTGACAGATACCATAAATAATTTAATACAACCAACTAATGTATCGGAAGTTAGGCACATATTAGGTGTACTAAACTTTGCTAAGCGTTTGATAGGTCACTATAGCCTACATGTTGAACCGATTACAAAACTTTTAAAGAAATCCCAACCATTTATATGGGGTGAGGAACAGGTGAAAGCATTCAAAACAATAAAACAATTGTTTAGAGAACAACCATTTGTTAAGCCATTTGATTACAGCCTTGAAACTGAGCTCAGGACAGATGCATCACTTACAGCACTGGCAGGTGTTTTGATGCAAAAACATGATAACAAATATTATCCATGTGGTTATTTTAGTCGCACAACTAATGTAAATGAGAGGACATATCCTATTTATGACTTGGAAGTTATGGCTGCAGTCGAGAGTATGGAGTATTTTTCAGATTTAATTTCTAATAAATACTTCAAATTAATTACTGATAACAAAGCAGTTTCATTCATTAAAAGTAAAAAGGATTTGAAAGGTAGACTAAACAAATTTGCAGTAATAATGTTAAACTATAATTTTGATATAACACACATACCTGGATCACAAAATAAATTACCAGATTTTCTATCAAGGTATCCAATCAATCATAAAATAATTGACAATAAAAACATAACAGAGTCTGACATAAATACATTAGAATCTAGTGAACACATAATAAACTGTAATATAATTAGTTTAACAAACAATATACAGTATAATGTTAATACAGTACATTCTAATGTAGATAATATCAAATTAGATAAAACTTTATTTTGTAATAAAAATAAATTTGATATTTTAATTACTGAACAAAACAATGACAATGAGTTGAAACAAATAATTTCTATGCTAAACAATGATAACATTCATAAGTCTATCAAACATAAAGTTGATAAATTTATTTTAGTTGACAATATATTATGTAAGTTTATGATACGTAATAATATACCTAAATATCTCATATGTATTCCCTGATCAATGATTTTGAATATACTGTATCAATATCATGATTTAGCTACTAGTGCTCACTTAGGTGTCAAAAGGACTATACGTAAAATATGCGATCATTTATATTGGCCTGAAATGTCTAAATACATTAAATACTATATTAAATCTTGTATTGAGTGTCAAAAGAGAAAAAGGTTGAGACAGAGACCAATAGGTTTAATGCAACCAATAATTGTTAGTTATTGTTTTGAACAAATAGCATTAGATCACGTAGGT